ATATATATGTATATATGTATATATGTGTATATTATATATATATATATATATAATATATTATATATATATATATATTTATATATATATATATATTAAATGTGTTTCTCACCTTCCATGGTGGTTGGTCTCTCACCCTCATTGAGCTCAGGGTCGTCTACCAGAGGCCTGGGAGCTTGACAGTTCTGCGCAGTATCTTTGCTGTTCCCAGTGCTGCACTTTTCTGGACTGAGATGTTCGTTGTTTTTCCCGGTATCTGTTGTGTCTCTTCCAGTTTGGGGGTTACAGCCCGAGTGTCCGATCACCACAGGCACCACTGATGCCTTTACTTTCCAGGCTCTCTCCAGCTCTTCCTTGAGCCCCTGGTATTTCTCTAGCTTCTCGTGTTCCTTTTTCCTGATATTACCATCTCTTGGTATTGCGATGTCAACCACCACGGCTCTGCTCTGTTTCTTATCCACCACCACTATGTCTGGTTGGTTCATCACCATCCTGTCAGTCTGTATCTGAAGTCCCACAGGATCTTGGCTCGGTCATTCTCCACAACCTTTGGAGGTGTTTCCCACCTTGATCCTGGGGTTTCCAGCCTGAACTCTGCACAGATGTTTCTGTACACTCTGCCCGCCACTTGGTTATGTCGCTCCATGTATGCTTTCCCTGCCAGCATCTTACACCTGCAGTTATGTGCTGGACTGTCTCAGGAGCCTCTTTGCACAGTCTACACCGTGGCTCTTGTCTGGTGTGGTAGATCTGGGCCTCTATTGCTCGAGTGCCCAGGTCCTGCTCCTGATTTCTTGATATCAGCCACTTCAGTTATGTTCCGGTGGTTCGCCCCATGTAGGGGTTTGTCCTGCCATGATGGTCCCTCCAGCTCCTCTTCCTCTGGACCCCACTGTCTGAGACATATTAGTTATATAACCTATAACTAATATATGGTTTTATTATATATATATATATATATATATATATATATATATATATATATATTATGGTGTAGACGATACAAACACGAGGACCACGGCAGGTTGTGTGTCTGTGTGTCAGCGTGACTCAGCTCAGTTTTATTTTCCATGATCAAAATGTGTTTGAATCGTCTGTTTTGACCTCATGTGTCTTGTAGACTCTTTGTTGCATCTTGGACATTGAATCCGGTGACGCGGGAACAGGTCCATCCTGATGCTGCGATCGAAGGGCGTGAAACATATTCCGCTAATGAGCCCAACAAAGAAAACTAAATCCTGCTCCAAAAAAACCACATCCACCTTTAAAAGGAGCCTCAGCATCTTCAGAGCTCACAACCACAGACGCCAACGGAGACGCCAACGGAGACGCCAACGAGAAAACTCCAAACATGAAGACCACTCTGCTCCTCTGTCTGGCCTTAACCATCGCCCTGTCCATCACCACAGGTACGCTCTGTTAAAGTCCTGTTATAGTCCTGGTTTAGTCCTGTTATAGTCTTGGTCTGACCTGGTCTTGGTCCTGGTCTGACCTGGTCTTGGTCTTGTTTCAGTGGCTGGTTTGTCGTGCCTGACGTGTACAGATCCGAAGCGACCCAAGCTGCACCAACACGATTCAGCTCACCTGCACCAGCGGAGAGACGTACTGTATGTCTGCCACCATCGTCAGTGAGTAACATTTATATACAAATATATATAAATATATATATACTGTATGTACAGGTGTATAAATACAAGTGTCTCTGACCTCTGACCTTTCTGCAGCCACCGTCACCAGCGGCAGCAGCAGCACCACGACCACAATGAAGTTCAGAGGTTGTGCGATGTCCAGCCTGTGTCCGGCCGTCAATCAGGAATTTTCTATGGACACGGGATCCACCAGCGTTTTGGCCGGAGCCGTCTGCTGCACCACCGACGGCTGCAACTCTGGCGACGCAACCGGTGAGTGACTCTGCTGACCTCTGACCCCTGACCCCTGTGTCTAACTCCTGTGTCTGACCTCTGACCCCTGTGTCTAACTCCTGTGTCTGACCTCTGACCCCTGTGTCTAACTCCTGTGTCTGACCTCTGACCCCTGTGTCTAACTCCTGTGTCTGACCTCTGACCTCTGTGTCTAACTCCTGTGTCTGACCTCTGACCTCTGTGTCTAACTCCTGTGTCTGACCTCTGACCCCTGTGTCTAACTCCTGTGTCTGACCTCTGACCTCTGTGTCTAACTCCTGTGTCTGACCTCTGTCTAACTCCTGTGTCTGACCTCTGACCCCTGTGTCTAACTAACTCCTGTGTCTGACCTCTGACCCTGTGTCTAACTCCTGTGTCTGACCTCTGACCTCTGTGTCTAACTCCTGTGTCTGACCTCTGACCTCTGTGTCTAACTCCTGTGTCTGACCTCTGACCTCCCTCTCAGCTCCGTCCGCCCCGGCTGATGGGTCAAAACGGTGCTACGGCTGTGACCCTGTGACCGGAGTCTGCGCCCCTGGAACCATCTGCAACACCATGGAGACCAACTGCTTCAGCTCCTCAGGTCAGTGAAGTGCACACCTGCCCACGGCCACGGGGCCCCGGCCGGACGCCCGCGGGGCCCCGGCCGGACGCCCGCGGGGCCTCAGCTGGACGCCTGCAGGGACAGAGCTTCACACAGTTTCTCTTTGTTGTTTGCAGTGCTGCCAAACGGTGGGTCCTCGGCGATCCTGGTTTACGGTTGTGCTTCGGAGTCCCTTTGCATCAACAATGCAGTATCTCTGAACACGTCGTCGCTGCTCACCGGCTTAGGCACCGTCCAGGGCACCCCCACCTGCTGCACCACCGACAACTGCAACGTCCCCCCCACCACCACAAGTACGTCTCTCCCTCACTCACACCCGTCCACAGTCAAGAACAACAACGACGTTTCAGCTTCTGACGAAACTTTCTAACAACTAACAACTTTCTAACTCCCCGACCACAACCACAACCACCCCCCCGACCACAACCACAACCACCACCCCGACCCCCCCGACCAGTGCATCAATAGATTTGGACACCCAGAACGTTTCAGACCTTGTTTTGTTTTGATTCATTTCTTAATGATTTTAAAACATTCTTTCAGCTACAACCACCACCACCGCTGCCGGGGCAACCACTGCAGGTACAAACAGAGCTGAGTCTGGGGAGGTCTTATGGCTCTTTTCACATTTTCACACGTTTTTCTCATGTTTTTCTCATGTTTTTCTCATGTTTTCTGTGTTGCAGGCGCCTCCTCCGTCGCGTCTCTTCTTCTTCTGCAGATCTTCGCTCTGGTTCTTGTGTTTCTCTGCTAAAGAATCACATTTGAAGCTCAGATTTGTGTTTGACTCGTGTTTGTGTTTCCCTGTGAGGCCCGAGGCCCGAGGCCCGAGGCTGAGGTGGACCAGATTTTTGCATTAAAACTCAAATCTATTTATTTGTAATATTATATAATTTGTTTCATTACAGTATTATTCTGTTATGTGAGTAAAACATTAGTAACTAGAACATAAACTCTCCAACACAGCAGTTTAATGATCTGTACACCCAAATGGTCTTAGTGACAAGATCTTTATTTATGTATTTATAATGTGATTTTGTAATGAAATAATAATATCTGTGTGATAATAATATGTTCAGTAAATATTAAAAATCTATACCTGTGTCATCACGAGTCCTTTCAGGCGTTCAGCTGTCATAAAGTTTGATGAGTTTTTTTGGGGAGTGTTTCTGAACAAAAGAACACGCCCCGACTTAACCTAGAAAAACTATAAAAGAGACGACAGGAGCGGCCCTGTCCATTAAGAGGAGAGTTATGAGAGTCAAATTAGAGAAACTGAACTCAACTTAAACATAAATAGACTGAGAATAGTTCTAAGAAACATGTTCAGAAAAAGTTCTAGTGGCAAATTTGAGGAAAAGTCGGTAAATGTGCTGTTTCCCATAATCTGAGGAGCTGATTCCAAATATTTTGTTTATGAAGCTGAATTTTGACTTTTAAGAATGTTAATTAGCATAATAGCATAGATGCCAGACTAATCAAATTAAAGTTCTCTTTAATTGAATGAATGAATTTCATAAAAAGTCCAGAAAACAAACACCAGTAAACTGTAAATATATCAGGTAAATATTATAACTAAGATAGAAGTCACCACATGACCCCTAATTAACAAACTGAAATAAAAACAAGACGATACTGCAGCATTTTAAAGCTAGCGTCCTTCATTTCCTTCATTTGATGAACAGAAATGAAACAAATTCCTGATTCAGATTTTTACGAGATTTAGATTCTAGGTGACTGCTCATTTTTATTCCTGAAAGTCATTTATCTCTGTTTGTTATCGACAGTTTTCATTCTTTATTGAGAATATAGGCCATTGTTCTGTTTTATATCACAACATTTCAGTAAATGTTACTGAGGAGGTTAAGTGTCTTGCCCAAAAACACGACAGCATTCACCTGTGGGAGCTGGAATCGCACCACCAACCTGTGGGCCAGTGGATCTGACACTCAACCAATGATGTTTAAGTCGAGAGCAGGATTCGAACCGCTAACCTTCAGATCAGTGGACGAACGCTCGACCACCTGAGCTCCTGACGCAAAGACACAAGAGAAGCTTTTTTCAGACGTCGGGGACCTGAGGCTCCGCCCCTAAACTGTTTCTGCTCATGGAATATTAGAAAAAACATCACTAAGCTCTAGTCCGGAGACAATCGAACAAAACAAATCCAGTTCTACCACCTGTAGAGGAAATGGGATGGAACTTACTCAATGGAAACCTGCAACACAAACTGATGCAATCCCAAAACCCTGAAACTCGACGTTTACCTGCAGATGTCAGTACGACTGTAAGACAAATGCAGCTGTTAAAGTGCAGGTTTGTTCTGTAAAAGTGGCTACAAATGTAGAAGTATTTCAGATCAGCCATGTCAGAATGCTGCCAGTAAGGACTAAGAATACAGCCAGAATTAAAGGAAACTAGCACTTCTTTCTCTAAACTCCTTATCTCACACATTAAACACAACATCAAATCCTGATGTGTGACTTTTTGTGATTTTTGCAGTGACTCCAAGGAAAATGGTTAATGGTTAAAGTGTCTCCTAGAGTTGGAGAGGCAATTTCTGTTAAACCAAAAATGCTGTAAATAAATTTGATTTGTATTTGTTGGATTCATCTCCATTCTTAGTTTGATTCCCAGTTTAAGATTATTTTTTTTTTTTTCATATGTGATTTGCTTTGTTACCTTTATCCCATTTAGGAAAAAAAATGTTGTTGGATGGAGGAAGGAAAACTTTGAGGATCTCCTCAGTCCCACCATCACGTCTTTCGAAGAGGAAACAAAGGCTGGGGGGGGACTCGTCCATCACCCTGGCTGAAGTCACGGAGGATGTTGCCAAGATCCGTCCTGAGTATTTTATGTCTCTGGATGTTGTGGGTCTTGGTTGAAACGTCTCTGCAGGTCTGCCAGTCCAGAGGGACAGAACCTCTGGACTGGCAGACCGGGGTGGTGGTCCCTCTGTAGAAGAAGGGCGACCGGAGGGTGTGTTCCAACTCCAGGGGGATCACACTCCTCAGCCTCCCCGGTAACATCTATACCAGGGACTGGAGAGGAGAATCTGGCCGATAGTCGAACCTCGGATCCAGGAGGAGCAGTGTGGTTTTGGTCCTGGCCGTGGAACACTGGACCAGATCTATACGGGTCTGATGTTGTCCTGCTGTCTTCATCAGACCAGGACCTGCAGCACTGGGGCAGTTTGCAGCAGTGAAGCGGCTGGGATGAAGATCAGCTCTTCCAAATCTGAGGCCGTAGTTCTCGACCAGAAATAGGTGTCTTGCCCTCTCCAGGTAGAGAGTCTCTGCCTCAAGTGGAGGAGTTCAAGTATCTCGAGGTCTTGTTCACGAGTGAGGGGAGGACGGAACATGAGATTGACAGGTGGACAGGTGCAGCGTCTGCAGTGATGCGGTCGCTGTATCGGACCGTTGTGGTGAAGAGGAGCTGAGCCGAAAGACAAAACTCTCGATTTACCATCAATCTATGTTCCTCCCCTCACCTCTGGTCATGAGCTCGAAGTAATGACTGAAAGGACGAGATCACAGATACAAGCGCTTGAAATGAGTTTCCTCTGCGGGGTGTCTGGGCGTCTCCCTTAGAGATAGAGGAACTCAGTCACACGGAAGAAGCTCGGAGTAGAGCCGCTGCTCCTCCACATGGAGAGGAGCAGCTCAGGGGAGGGCATCTGACCCAGATGCCTCCTGGACCCCTCCCTTAGGTGTTGTTCCAGGCACGTCCCAATGGGAGGAGACCCAGCACACACTGGAGGGACTATGTCTCTCGGCTGGCCTGGGAACACCTCGGGGTTCCCCCGTAGGAGCTGGAGGAAGTGTCTGGGGTGAGGGAAGTCTGGAAGTCCCTACTTAGACTCCTACCCCCGCGAACCCCAGATAAGTAGAAGAACATGGATGGATGGATAATATACTTATAAATTATATATATATATTATTAATATGCAAATTAGAAGGCTTAGAACTCAAAATCCAGCTTGGTAAACAAAATATTCAGAATCAACACCCTCAAAATATGTAAAAAAAAAAAGGTTTACCGACTTTTCCTCAAATTTGCCTTCAGGACTTCTTCTCTGTGAAAATACTCTAGTCTAGAACCTCCCCTTTAAATGAGTCACATCACGACCCTCAGGACAGAAATGTCCACTCACAGTTTTTCTCACCAAAATTTCACTTTTTTCTCCAAAATAAAACTAAACTTTCCTGAATATATGATTATCACATATTAGGGGAAAAAATCAGGAAGGACACAACAGACTCAGATTTAAACTGATCCGACACTAAAACTACAAATGGAACAAAGTTCACATTTTAGACTGAAACTTCCTGTGACACTTACACAAATGTAAATTATTATAAACTGATATTTTTATTTAAATATTTGCTGATGATATGAGACAGATCTTTGGATTAAAACCAAACAAATATAAAATGATTTTACGTCTGTTTTTGTGAGAGGACGTTTATGTTCTGAGGGGATTTTCTCAGTTTTCCAACACAGAAGAAAATGAACTTCAACAAGAATCAGACCTGTGTTCAGCAGCAACTAAACCTGAAAAGAAAAAAGGCAACAATAACAACAAAAAACAGGCACACGTGTGTATGGGATCATTTTCAAATCTGCTTCTCTGTGAAACGGACAAACTGGTTTTTGAAGTTAATCCAATAATTGGACACATTTAAAGCCCGGGGTTAGAACTTTCAGCTGCTCCTCCCAGAGTGAATAAGTCACAAGTGACAAAAGCTTTATGTCATGTAGGGAGTTTTACTTTTGTTCAAATCAGGAGACAGACACACGTTCAGTAACTGTGACCCTCCAAAAAATAATTAAATATTGAATTTGTGACGGTCCCAAACTCAGGTCCAGACGAGTGTCTCCAAAAGACGAGTCCTCTGGACCATCAGACTTTTGTAAATATTACCCCAAACTTCTGCGCAGTGTGTAAGGGACAGTGTGTAAGGGACAGTGTGTAAGGGACAGTGTGTAAGGTACAGTGTGTAAGGTACAGTGTGTAAGGGACAGTGTGTAAGGTATAATGAGCTACAGTGTGTAAGGGACAGTGTGTAAGGTACAGTGTGTAAGGGACAGTGTGTAAGGTATAATGAGCTACAGTGTGTAAGGGACAGTGTGTAAGGTACAGTGTGTAAGGTACAGTGTGTAAGGGACAGTGTGTAAGGTATAATGAGCTACAGTGTGTAAGGGACAGTGTGTAAGGTACAGTGTGTAAGGGACAGTGTGTAAGGGACAGTGTGTAAGGTGTGTACAGTGTGTAAGGGACAGTGTGTAAGGTACAATGAGCAGTACAGTGTACAGTGTGTAAGGTACAGTGTGTAGGGACAGTGTGTAAGGTAATGTGTACAGTGTGTAAGGACAGTGTGTAAGTACAGTGTGTAACAGTGTGTAAGGTACAGTGTAAGTAAGTGTGTAAGGGACAGTGTGTAAGGTACAGTGTGTACAGTGTGTAAGGGACAATACAGTGTGTAAGGGACAGTGTGTAAGGTATAAGTGTGTAAGGACAGTGTGTAAGGGACAGTGTGTAAGGTACAGTGTAAGGTAATGAGCTACAGTGTGTAAGTGTAAGGTACAGTGTGTAAGGGAGTGTGTAAGTAAGGTACAGTGTGTAAGGGACAGTGTGTAAGGTGTGTAAGACAGTGTGTAAGGTACAGTGTGTAAGGGACAGTGTGTAGTGTGTAAGGTAAGGTAAGTGGCTACAGTGTGTAAGGGACAGTGTGTAAGGGACAGTGTGTAAGGACAGTGTGTACAGTGTGTAAGCACAGTGTGTAAGGTACAATGAGCTACAGTGTGTAAGGGACAGTGTGTAAGGTACAGTGAAGCAGTGTGTAAGGTGTGTAAGGTACAGACAGTGTGTAAGGGACAGTGTGTAATGAGCAGTGTGTACAATGAGCTACAGTGTGTAAGGTACAATGAGCTACAGTGTGTAAGGGACAGTGTGTAAGGTATAATGAGCTACAGTGTGTAAGGGACAGTGTGTAAGGTGTGTGTGTAAGAAGGGACAGTGTGTAAGGTAAGAGCTACAGTGTAAGGGACAGTGTGTAAGTGTAAGACAGTGTGTAAGGGACAGTGTGTACAGTGTGTAATGACTGTGTAAGGGACAGTGTGTAAGGTACAGTGTGTAAGGGACAGTGTGTAAGGACAGTGTGTAAGGGACAGTGTGTAAGGTACTGAGCTACAGTGTGTAAGGGACAGTGTGTAAGGGACAGTCAGAAGGTCAGTGTGTGTAAGGCAGTGTGTAAGGACACAGTGGTAAGGACAGTGTGTAAGGCAGTGTGTAAGGGACAGTGTGTACAGAGACAGTGTGTAAGGGTGTGTAAGGGACAGTGTGTAAGGTATAATGAGCTACAGTGTGTAAGGGACAGTGTGTAAGGTACAATGAGCTACAGTGTGTAAGGGACAGTGTGTAAGGGACACTGAGGTACCCTCTTCTTCTACAGAGGGACCATCACTCTGGTCTGAAGGTCCAGAGGTTCTGTCCTCGACCTCCACACGACGCTGCAGAGACGAGTCAGACAAGACCCACAACATCCAGAGACTGAAGATCCTCAGGACGGATCATCCACCTCCAGAACCACCGAGGAACTTTAACCTCCTCTTCAGGTGATGGACGAGTCCACCTCCGAGTCTCCAGCCTCGACTTCCTCCTCTGAAGACGTGACGGTGGGATTGAGGAGATCCTCAGAGTTTTCCTTCCACCGCTGGAGAACATCCCCAGTCGAGGTGAACAGTTCTGCCCCCCACTGGAAACAGAGTTGGTGAAGAACTGATCCTCCTCCTGAGGCGCCGGACGCTTTGACAGAATCTCTCTGAGGCGTCCGATAGTCCTCCTCCATGTCCTCCTCCATGTCCTCCTCCATGTCCTCCTCCATGTCCTCCTCCATGTCCTCCATGTCCTCCTCCATGTCCTCCTCCATGTCCTCCTCCATGTCCTCCTCCATGTCCTCCTCCATGTCCTCCTCCTCCATGTCCTCCTCCATGTCCTCCTCCATGTCCTCCTCCATGTCCTCCTCCATGTCCTCCATGTCCTCCATGTCCTCCTCCATGTCCTCCATGTCCTCCATGTCCTCCTCCATGTCCTCCTCCATGTCCTCCTCCATGTCCTCCTCCATGTCCTCCATGTCCTCCTCCATGTCCTCCTCCATGTCCTCCTCCATGTCCTCCTCCATGTCCTCCATGTCCTCCATGTCCTCCTCCATGTCCTCCATGTCCTCCATGTCCTCCTCCATGTCTCCTCCATGTCCTCCTCCATGTCCTCCATGTCCTCCTCATGTCCTCCATGTCTCCTCCATGTCCTCCTCCATGTCCTCCTCCATGTCCTCCTCCATGTCCTCCTCCATGTCCTCCTCCATCCATGTCCTCTCCATGTCCTCCATGTCCTCCTCCATGTCCTCCATGTCCTCCTCCATGTCCTCCATGTCCTCCTCCATGTCCTCCTCCATGTCCTCCTCCATGTCCTCCATGTCCTCCTCCATGTCCTCCATGTCCTCCATGTCCTCCATGTCCTCCATGTCCTCCTCCATGTCCTCCTCCATGTCCTCCTCCATGTCTCCTCCATGTCCTCCATGTCCTCCTCCATGTCCTCCTCCTCCTCCATGTCCTCCTCCATGTCCTCCTCCATGTCCTCCTCCATGTCCTCCTCCATGTCCTCCTCCATGTCCTCCATGTCCTCCTCCATGTCCTCCTCCATGTCCTCCATGTCCTCCTCCATCCATGTCCTCCTCCATGTCCTCCTCCATGTCCTGTCCTCCATGTCCTCCTCCATGTCCTCCTCCATGTCCTCCATGTCCTCCATGTCCTCCTCCATGTCCTCCTCCATGTCCTCCTCCATGTCCTCCTCCATGTCCTCCATGTCCTCCATGTCCTCCATGTCCTCCTCCATGTCCTCCTCCATGTCCTCCTCCATGTCCTCCTCCATGTCCTCCATGTCCTCCTCCATGTCCTCCTCCATGTCCTCCTCCATGTCCTCCTCCATGTCCTCCTCCATGTCCTCCATGTCCTCCATGTCCTCCTCCTGTCTCCTCCATGTCCTCCTCCATGTCCTCCATGTCCTCCTCCATGTCCTCCTCCATGTCCTCCTCCATGTCCTCCTCCATGTCCTCCATGTCCTCCTCCATGTCCTCTCCATGTCCTCCATGTCCTCCATGTCCATGTCCATGTCCTCCATGTCCTCCTCCATGTCCTCCATGTCCTCCTCCATGTCCTCCTGTCCATGTCCTCCATGTCCTCCCCTCCATGTCCTCCCTCCTCCATGTCTCCTCCATGTCCTCCTCCATGTCCTCCTCCATGTCCTCCATGTCCTCCATGTCTCCTCCATGTCCTCCTCCATGTCCTCCATGTCCTCCTCCATGTCCTCCTCCATGTCCTCCTCCATGTCCTCCATGTCCTCCTCCATGTCCTCCTCCATGTCCTCCTCCATGTCCTCCTCCATGTCCTCCATGTCCTCCTCCATGTCCTCCTCCATGTCCTCCATGTCCTCCATGTCCTCCTCCTCCTGTCCTCCTCCATGTCCTCCATGTCCTCCATGTCCTCCATGTCCTCCATGTCCTCCTCCATGTCTCCTCCATGTCCTCCATGTCCTCCTCCATGTCCTCCTCCATGTCCTCCATGTCCTCCTCCATGTCCTCCATGTCCTCCTCCATGTCCTCCTCCATGTCTCTCCATGTCCTCCATGTCCTCCATGTCTCCTCCATGTCCTCCTCCATGTCCTCCTCCATGTCCTCCTCCATGTCCTCCTCCATGTCTCCTCCATGTCTCCTCCATGTCCTCCATGTCCTCTCCATGTCCTCCATGTCTCCTCCATGTCTCCTCCATGTCTCCTCCATGTCCTCCATGTCCTCCATGTCCTCTCCATGTCTCCTCCATGTCCTCCTCCATGTCTCCTCCATGTCCTCCATGTCTCCTCCATGTCCTCCTCCATGTCCTCCTCCATGTCCTCCTCCATGTCCTCCTCCATGTCCTCCTCCATGTCTCCTCCATGTCCTCCTCCATGTCCTCCTCCTCCATGTCTCCATGTCCTCCTCCATGTCTCCTCCATGTCCTCTCCATGTCTCCTCCATGTCCTCCATGTCCTCCATGTCCTCCTCCATGTCCTCCTCCATGTCTCCTCCATGTCTCTCTCATGTCCTCCTCCATGTCCTCTCCTCCATGTCCTCCTCCATGTCCTCCATGTCCTCCATGTCCTCCATGTCCTCCATGTCCTCCATGTCCTCCATGTCCTCCATGTCCTCCTCCATGTCCTCCATGTCTCCATGTCTCCTCCATGTCCTCCTCCATGTCTCCTCCATGTCTCCTCCATGTCCTCCTCCCCTCCATGTCCTCCTCCATGTCTCCTCCATGTCTCCTCCATGTCTCCTCCATGTCCTTCATGTCCTCCTCCATGTCTCCTCCATGTCTCCTCCATGTCCTCCATGTCCTCCATGTCTCCTCCATGTCCTCCTCCATGTCTCCTCCATGTCTCCTCCATGTCCTCCATGTCTCCTCCATGTCCTCCTCCATGTCCTCCTCCATGTCTCCTCCATGTCCTCCATGTCCTCCATGTCTCCTCCATGTCCTCCCTCCATGTCCTCCATGTCCTCCTCGAACTCCTCCCAGCTCTGAGTTTTTACCTCTGCACCTGAACTACAAAAACTTACTACAAAATTCACACATGTGAAAACCTCAGGTCTGTTTGTTTTCTTCTGTTCTGGACACAGTTTCGTATCAAGACTCGTCTTAAATGAGCCACAAACACTCAGACAAAAATCTGCTCAGTGTCGCTGCGGCAGAAGAAAAAAAAAAACTCTTCAAATCTGTAGATTTGATTTGGAAATACAAAGTGTTTAATAATCTCTGTTTGATTTATTGATTTGATTTGGTTTATTTAGCACGGATCAAATGGGGTTAGTTTTCCTTCACTCTGGATCCTTCAGGATCCTGACGACCGAGGAATTCCACAAACTCATTTGAGATTAAAGTCAAATAAAAGAACAAATCAAATAAAACAGCTTCATTTAAGCTTTTTATTTCAACTGAAACTGAAGAAAATGATCAGATTTCACACAGAGACTCTCCCTGAACCGACGAGGAACTAGAAAAACATGAAAACAATAATAAAAAAACATTTAAAGAAACAATAAGAAGAAAACATGAATTAAACATGAATTAAACATGAAGAAAACATGAATTAAACATGAATATAACACAGAAATCAGCAGCGACTGACGGGGCATCTGACTTTAGACACAAAACATTCACAGTTTGGACTAAATGACACAAAAGACAGAAACATGGTGCAGGCTAACCACTCTGCCACTGAGGAGTCTAACCCACAACCTCCTGGTGAGAGGGCGGAGGGCAGAGCCGCCGCGTCGCCGTCAGTAGAGCTGCTCTGAGGGGTCGGAGGTCGGGGTGTGGAGGCGGGGTTTGTTTTTGGGGCGTGTCCAGCTCAGGAGGCGGGGTTTGAGGAGGCGGGGCACGTGGGGGCGGGGCTTCTGCAAGTGGGTGGAGTCAGGCAGGTCGGAGGTCGAGCGACGGAGCGGCGCCTGAACAAACGAGAGAAACGTGAGGGGCGGGGTCAGGTGTGAGGAGGCGGGGGCAGGTGTAGGGGGCGGGGCTACCTGTATGAAGGGGGCCTGGTGCAGAGTGACCACGCCCACCGCCACCCCTGGCCCCGCCCCTCGCCGCAGCAGCTCCTCCACGTCTCGCCGTTTGGACCATTTGGTGTCGACGCCGTTCACAGAAACGATGTAATCACCTTCACGAAGCCCCGCCTCCTGAAGACACAGACCTGGTTTAGTCCTGGTTAAGACCTAGTTTAGACCTGGTTTAGTCCTGGTTTAGACCTGGTTTAGACCTGGTTTAGTCCTGGTTTAGACCTGGTTTAGACCTGGTTTAGTCCTGGTTTAGTCCTGGTTTAGTCCTGGTTTAGTCCTGGTTTAGTCCTGGTTTACACTAGTTTTAGACCTGGTTTAGACCTGGTTTAGTCCTGGTTTAGTCCTGGTTTAGTCCTGGTTTAGTCCTGGTTTAGTCTGGTTTAGTTCTGGTTTAGTTTTAGTCCTGGTTTAGTCCTGGTTTAGTCCTGGTTTAGTCCTGGTTTAGTCCTGGTTTGTCCTGGTTTAGTCCTGGTTAGTCCTGGTTTAGTCCTGGTTTAGTCCTGGTTTAGTCCTGGTTTAGTCCTGGGTTTAGTCCTGGTTTAGTCCTGGTTTAGTCCTGGTTTAGTCCTGGTTTAGTCCTGGTTTAGTTCTGGTTTAGTCCTGGTTTAGTCCTGGTTTAGTCCTGGTTTAGTCCTGGTTTAGTCCTGGTTTAGTAGTTTAGTTCCTGGTTTAGTCCTGGTTTAGTCCTGGTTTAGTTCCTGGTTTAGTTCCTGGTTTAGTCCTGGTTTAGTCCTGGTTTAGTCCTGGGTTAGTCTGGTTTAGTCCTGGTTTAGTCTGGTTTAGTCCTGGTTTAGTCTGGTTTAGTCCCTGGTTTAGTCCTGGGTTTAGTCCTGGTTTAGTCCTGGTTTAGTCCTGGTTTAGTCCTGGTTTAGTCCTGGTTTAGTCCTGGTTTAGTCCTGGTTTAGTCCTGGTTTAGTCCTCCTGGTTTAGTCCTGGTTTAGTCCTGGTTTAGTCCTGGTTTAGTCCTGGTTTAGTCCTGGTTTAGTCCTGGTTTAGTCCTGGTTTAGTCCTGGTTTAGTCCTGGTTTAGTCCTGGTTTAGTCCTGGTTTAGTCCTCCTGGTTTAGTCCTGGTTTAGTCCTGGTTTAGTCCTGGTTTAGTCCTGGTTTAGTCCTGGTTTAGTCCTGGTTTAGTCCTGGTTTAGTCCTGGTTTAGTCCTGGTTTAGTCCTGGTTTAGTCCTGGTTTAGTCCTGGTTTAGTTCTGGTTTAGTCCTGGTTTAGTCCTGGTTAGTCCTGGTTTAGTCCTGGTTTAGTCCTGGTTTAGTCCTGGTTTAGTCCTGGTTTAGTCCTGGTTTAGTCCTGGTTTAGTCCTGGTTTAGTCCTGGTTTAGTCCTGGTTTAGTCCTGGTTTAGTCCTGGTTTAGTCCTGGTTTAGTCCTGGTTTAGTCCTGGTTTAGTCAGTTCCTGGTTTAGTCCTGGGTTTAGTCCTGGTTTAGTCCTGGTTTAGTCCTGGTTTAGTCCTGGTTTAGTCCTGGTTTAGTTTTAGTCCTGGTTTAGTCCCTGGTTTAGTCCTGGTTTAGTCCTGGTTTAGGGTTTATCTTTAGTCCTGGTTTAGTCCTGGTTTAGTCCTGGTTTAGTCCTGGTTTAGTCCTGGTTTAGTCCTGGTTTAGTCCTGGTTTAGTCCTGGTTTAGTCCTGGTTTAGTCCTGGTTTAGTCCTGGTTTAGTCCTGGTTTAGTCCTGGTTTAGTCCTGGTTTAGTTCCTGGTTTAGTCCTGGTTTAGTCCTGGTTTAGTCCTGGTTTAGTCCTGGTTTAGTCCTGGTTTAGTCCTGGTTTAGTCCTGGTTTAGTTTAGTCCCTGGTTTAGTCCTGGTTTAGTCTGGTTTAGTCCTTGGTTTAGTCCTGGTTTAGTCTGGTTTAGACCTGGTTTACCTGGTTTAGGGTTTAGTCCTGGTTTAGGGTTTAGTCCTGGTTTAGAGTTGGTTTACCTGGTTTACTGGTTTACAGTCCTGGTTTAGTCCTGGTTTAGTCTGAGTCCTGGTTTAGTCCTGGTTTAGTCTGGTTTAGTCTGGTTTAGTCCTCCAGGGTTTAGTTCTGGTTTAGTCCTGGACTGGTTTAGTCTGGTTTAGTTCTGGTTTAGAGTCCTGGTTTAGTCCTGGTTTAGTCTGGTTTAGTCTGGTTTAGTCTGGGTTGGTTTAGTTGGTTTAGTCCTGGTTTAGTCTGGTTTAGTCTGGTTTAGTCCTGGTTTAGTTCTGGTTTAGTCTGGTTTAGTTCCTGGTTTAGTTCTGGTTTAGTTCTGGTTTAGTCTGGTCGGTTTACTGGTTTAGTCCCTGGTTTAGTCTGGTTTAGTCTGGTTTAGTTCTGGTTTAGTCTGGTTTAGTCCTGGTTTAGTTCCTGGTTTAGTCTGGTTTAGTCCTGGTTTAGTTCTGGTTTAGTTGGTTTAGTCCTGGTTTAGTCCTGGTTTAGTCCTGGTTTAGTTCCTGGTTTAGTCTGGTTTAGTCCTGGTTTAGTTTGGTTTAGTCTGGTTTAGTCCTGGTTTAGTCTGGGTTTAGTCCTGGTTTAGTCCTGAGTTCGGTCTGGTTTAGTCCACTGAGGTCCAGTGGAGTCCTGGCGAGCAGCTCCTCCGGGCACCAGGGCGTGGACCAGCACCGGGGCGTCTCCTCTCAGCGTCAGGCCCAGAGTCGAGCCTCTCGTCTGGGGCACGAGCAGCGTCCGGAGGGGCCCCCATCCAGAGCGCGCTGAGAACACGCACAGAGGACCCTACGAGAGGACCAGAACCAGAACCCGGTCAGAACCACACACACACATTAGACTAAACCGGGACTGAACAGGGACTGGACCAGGACTGGACCGGGACTGGACCGGGACTGGACCGGGACTGGACCGGGACTCAGAGGCGGTCGGACTCGTCAGTGGAGCAGTTCTTAAAATGCAGTTTTGTGTTTGTGGTTCTCACCAGTCGGTGGAACAGGTCCGAGACCTGAACCGAGGAGAAGTCCGGCGGGATCGGGTCTGGACCGTGGTCACTGTGAGCTGGACCGTGGTCACTGTGAGCTGGACCGTGGTCACTGTGAGCTGGACCGTGGTCACTGTGAGCTGGAAGAGACACACGGAAACGCTGAAAGGTTCAAACTGAGCACCTGCGAGGTCTGTTCTAATGTTCTGCTGTTCTAATCTAGTTTCCTGGAGTTTTGTTTGTTTCATTCACATGTTTCACACAAAAACCTGCACATTTACACAAACTCTTCTCTCAAACTGAAAACACTCTGTTCCACCTTGTGATGTCATCATGTGGTGATACAGGAAGTGCTCCACTGTGTTTTTAAACTCCACACACCTTCACTAGAATCATCATTTCAAACATTTCAGTCCTGGAGTTTTGATCTCGACTGAACTAAAGGGAAAAGGAGCTGAGAACTTGATGACATCACGAGGTGGAACAGAGTGTTTGGAGTTTTGAAGATGGAACAGACTCAGAACAAACAAACAAACAAACAAACACAAGGAACAGATGAGTGTGACAGGAACAACACAACAGAACATGACTTAAAGTGTGGATTGGTGATGATATATGAACAACTGAAAGGACCTGGTTTTGGTCATGTTTTTACTCACGGCGAATCTCCGGAGCGTCTCTGGTCTCAGTGAAATCGTCCTCTTGGTCCAGGTCCGAGTACCGGTCCAAGACTCGTCTGTGGTCCGAGGTCAGGACCTCCCGAAGGGCATCCATCTTCCTCAAGACTTTACATGAACTGAACAGCCGCAAGGACTCCTCCAGCCCCATCACAGCGCTGCGCAGGTGAGACTTACCTGCAGCACAGGCCCAGATCAGTCCAGGTTCAGTCCTGGTTCAGTCCTGGCTCAGTCCTGGTTTAGTCCTGGTTCAGTCCTGGTTCAGTCCTGGTTCAGTCCTGTTAGACTCACAGAGTGTTTGTCGGCCCTGTGGCGCCCTCAGCAGGACGCTGGTGGTCGTTGGGCAGTGGGAGTAAAACTGGAGCAAAACCTCGAGGTCGTCGTCTGAACGACACAAACACAGGGTCAGTTCTAAAGGAGGTCAGGGGTCAGAGGTCGGGGCGGGGTCAGAGGTCGGGGGCGGGGTCAGGGTCGGGGGCGGGGTCAGAGGGGCGGGGTCAGAGGTCGGGGGGCGGGGTCAGAGGTCGGGGGTGCTGTACCTGAGCTCTGTTCCAGGGCGCGGCCGCAGTAAAAGTGGGACAGAGATTTGAAACGCTGCAGTTTGAGCTGAACCATCGACGACCACGAGAACGGAACAAACGACTTCATCACAGGCTGTGCCATGGCGACAAACGCCTGCAAGTACTGCTCCGACACCTGCCGAAAAACACATGACTGAACACCTGCAAGTACTGCTCCGACACCTGCCGAAAAACACATGACTGAACACCTGCAAGTACTGCTCCGACACCTGCCGAAAAACACATGACTGAACGCCTGCAAGTACTGCTCCGACACCTGCGGGAAACACATGACTGAACACCTGCAAGTACTGCTCCGACACCTGCGATGGAAACACACAGGACTGAACACCTGCAAGTACTGCTCCGACACCTGCGATGGAAACACACAGGACTGAACACCTGCAAGTACTGCTCCGACACCTGCGATGGAAACACACAGGGCTGAACACCTGCAAGTACTGCTCCGACACCTGCCAAGAAACACACGACTGAACACCTGCAAGTACTGCTCTGAACACCTGTGATAACATGAAATAAACATAAAAGCCTGGATAACTGCAAGTACAGCCCTGTCATGTTCAAAGGACAGCTGGACACCTGTAAGTGCAGCATGAACACAAATCCCACAGAGAAATGAACCAAAGGTGAAAGGTTTTTCACTCACCGCAGCGGCCTCCTGAGCGAGCCGGAGCAGCTGCAGGGTCTGTGGGCTGTGGGAGGGGCTGTGGGCGGGGCTGTAGCTGTGGGCGGAGCGTTCGTGGACACATTCACGAGCCTGCGCCGTCATGAGCAGCTGCAGGGTCCACAGACACGGCTCGGACATATCGAGGCTCGGAGCATTACAGAAGTTCTCCCTCAGGTACAAGAACGCTCCTGGAACAGAGATGGGACTGAGCACCTGCAGGGTCTACTGCTTCAGTCCTGGTCCTGGTCTGGTCCTGGTTTAGTCCTGGTTTAGTCCTGGTCTCAGGTTTCTTTTACAGCGACAGCAGTTATTGCACCAATCATTCCTTTGGATCCAGAAGCTCTTAGTGGGGCTGGTTTTATTTGTTTTTATTTGTTTTTGTTTGTTTTTGTTTGATTTTGTTTGTTTTTATTTATTTTTATTTGGTTTTATTTGGTTTTGTTTGGCAGCGCTTATTTCCACCAGAAAATAAACATCGAAGAAATGTCAGAGGGACCAGGTTTGGTTGGTTTGGTGTGAAAGGACCAAACTGGAGTCTGTGACACAGAAGAAGAATTTTACTGCCTGGAGACGAACTAAGAATCAAACTAGAGAAGAGAAAGAATCTCCGGGCTCAGTCCTAGTCTGGTCTCTGGTCTCTGGTCTCTGGTCTCTGGTCTCTGGTCTCTGGTCCTGGTCTCTGGTCTCTGGTCTCTGGTCTCTGGTCCTGGTCCTGGTCCTGGTCCTGAACCTGCTGCCCTCCTGAAGGCTGTGGCGGCCGTCTCGGTGCCGGTCGGGTCGGTCCGGTTCTGTCTGGCTCCGATCTGAGAGTTCAGAGCCGCCAAGTTGAACAGAACACTTCCCTTTTCAAACGCCAACGACTTCTGGGTCGAGGGAACGCCGGTCAGGGAATCGTACCTGCACACACGCCAGGGTCACGGGGTCACGGGGGTCACAGGGGTCACAGGGGTCACGGGGGTCACGGGGTCACGGGGGTCACGGGGGTCACAGGGGTCACAGGGGGGGGGGTCACGGGGGTCACGGGGGTCACGGGGGTCACGGGGGGGGTCACGGGGGTCACTGAGGGTCTGGTTCCACTCAGTGTGTTTTTACATAAAGCTTTGGGCCTCACCAGAGGAACAGCGCCCCCATGTGGCTCTGAGGTTTGCAGAATCGCTGGTCCACGAAGTAAAGCTGATTATAATACTTCAACATCAGGTCCAGACCCGAGTCACAGCGAAGAGGAGACGTCACCGCCTGAACACAAAGTGTCGTTGGAGAGTCGCAGGTGACGTCGTTCGTGTGACGTCAGAGGTGACGGTCGGTGGAACTAATGTCACTTTTGGATCATTGTGTTTTCCGCCGCGGCCCTGGCCCCCCCCCCGCGGCCCTCGCCCCCCCCCGCGCCCTCGCCCCCCGCGGCCCTCGCCCCCGCGGCCCTCGCCCCCGCCCTCGCCCCCCCGCGCCCCCCGCGGCCCTCGCCCCCCGCGGCCTCGCCCCGCGGCCCTGCCCCCCCGCGGCCCTCGCCCCCCGCGGCCCTCGCCCCCCCGCGGCCCTCGCCCCCCGCGGCCCTCGCCCCCGCCCCTGGCGCCCCCCCCTCGCCTGGCCCCCGGGGGCCCTCGGTCCCCCCGTTTTGTATAATTGTTACTTTTGTCTCTGTGTAAATCGGTCGAGCGTCGAATGTGTTTTTTACTTTTGGTTCTTTTTTAATCAGTGACGCCAGTAAAAGTCAAAACCAAACGATTTATGTTGAATTATTTCACCAGGTCGACCTTTGACCTTAAACCGAGTCTAGTGTCAGGTGTCACGCTCACCTGTCAGCGTCAGGTGTCACGCTCACCTGTCAGCGTCAGGTGTCACGCTCACCTGTCAGCGTCAGGTGTTGGACTCACCTGTCGGAGCTGGTTCAGATCTTGTATCTCAGACTCAAACTCAGAGCTCTCCTCTCCATAGATCTCACTGATGAAGTCCTGACACACAAAACCAGAGCATTTAAAGTGTGTCACATCCTGCACACGACACACACGACACACGACACACACGACACACACGACACACGACACACGACACACACGACACACACGACACACGACACACGACACACACGACACACACGACACACGACACACACACACACGACACACACGACACACACGACACACGACACACGACACACACGACACACACACACACGACACACGACACACACGACACACGACACACGACACACGACACACACGACACACGACACACACACACGACACACGACACACGACACACACACACACACACACACACGACACACGACACACACACGACACACACGACACACACACACGACACACGACACACGACACACACACACGACACACACACACACGACACACGACACACACACACACACACACACACGACACACGACACACGACACACACGACACACGACACACAACACACACACACACACGACACACACGACACACGACACACACACGACACACACACGACACACACGACACACGACACACACACACACACACACGACACACGACACACACACACACGACACACACGACGACACACGACACACACGACACACACGACACACACGACACACGACACACACACACACGACACACACGACACACACGACACACGACACACGACACACACGACACACGACACACACGACACACACACACAGACACACACGACACACGACACACACGACACACACGACACACACGACACACGACACACGACGACACACGACACACACACACGACACACGACACACACACGACACACACACGACACACACACACACGACACACACACACACGACACACGACACACACGACACACACGACACACACGACACACGACACACACGACACACGACACACACACACACGACACACGACACACACACACGACACATCACACACATGACACACACGACACATGACACACACGACACACACGACACACACGACACACACGACACACACACACACGACACACGACACACACGACACACACGACACACGACACACACGACACACGACACACACGACACACACACACACACACACACACGACACACACGAACACACGACACACGACACACACGACACACACGACACACACGACACACACGACACACACGACACACACGACACACACGACACACGACACACACGACACACGACACACACGACACACACGACACACACGACACACACGACACACACGACACACACGACACACACGACACACGACACACACACGACACACACGACACACACACACACACACACGACACACACGACACACGACACACGACACACACACGACACACGACACACACACACACGACACACGACACACACACGACACACGACACACACGACACACGACACACACGACACACACGACACACACGACACACGACACACGACGACACACGACACACACGACACACACGACACACGACACACACGACACACGACACACACGACACACACAGACACACACACACACGACACACACGACACACACACACACACGACACACGACACACGACACACACACACACACACGACACACACACACACGACACACACACGACACACACGACACACGACACACACGACACACACGACACACACACGACACACACACGACACATGACACACACGACACACACGACACACGACACACACGACACACATGACACACACGACACACACACACGACACACACGACACACACACACACGACACACGACACACACGACACACACACGACACACACGACACACACACACGACACACACACACACGACACACTGACATGACACACTACACACACGACACACACGACACACACAACACACACGACACACACGACACACTACACATGACCCATGACACACTACACACACACACAACACACTACACACACACACACACACGACACACGACACACACGACACACGACACACGACACACGACACAAACCACACACTACACATGACCCATGACACACTACACACTACACACACACACAACACACTAAACCCGGTCTGGTTCGGACCTTGATGCAGAGGCTGAAGTCGAGCTCCTTGGTTTCCTTCAGGCCCAGTGGGATCATGGGGAGGTTCACAGACTCACTGCAAACACAGAGTCACTAGTCACTAGTGGGTTCTAGCCCGGTTCTAGCCCGGTTCTAGCCCGGTTCTAGCCCGGTTCTAGCCCGGGTTCTAGCCCGGTTCTTGTGGGTTCTAGCCCGGTTCTTGTGGGTTCTAGCCCGGTTCTTGTGGGTTCTAGCCCGGTTCTTGTGGGTTCTAGCCCGGCTCTTGTGGGTTCTAGCCCGGCTCTAGTGGGTTCTAGCCCGGTTCTCATCCTTACCTCTGGTAGGGGACCATGCAGCTGTTGAGTTCCTCCAGTTCTTGTCTGAGCAGCTGCAGAGTCGAGTTCACGTGGCTCAGCTCCAGAGTCACAGAGCGTTTCACCGCAGGGTTCAGGGTCGCTCTGAAAAACACACTCTGTAGTCCTCTGTAGTACTCTGTAGTACTCTGTAGTACTCTGTAGTACTTTGTAGTACTCTGTAGTACTCTGTGGTCCTCTGTAGTACTCTGTGGTCCTCTGTAGTCCTCTGTAGTCCTCTGTAGTACTCTGTAGTACTCTGTAGTAGTACTCTGTAGTACTCTGTAGTCTCTGTAGTCCTCTGTAGTCCTCTGTAGTAGTACTCTGTAGTACCTCTGTAGTACTCTGTAGTACTCTGTAGTACTCTGTAGTATGTTGTAGTCTCTGTAGTACTCTGTAGTACTCTGTAGTACTCTGTAGTCCTCTGTAGTACTCTGTAGTACTCTGTAGTCCTCTGTAGTACTTTGTAGTACTCTGTAGTACTCTGTAGTACTCTGTAGTACTCTGTAGTCCTCTGTAGTACTCTGTAGTACTCTGTAGTACTCTGTAGTACTTCTGTAGGGTCCTCTGTAGTACTCTGTAGTACTCTGTAGTACTCTGTAGTACTCTGTAGTACTCTGTAGTACTCTGTAGTACTTTGTAGTACTCTGTAGTACTCTGTGGTCCTCTGTAGTACTCTGTAGTACTCTGTAGTACTCTGTAGTACTCTGTGGTACTCTGTAGTCCTCTGTAGTCCTCTGTAGTACTTTGTAGTACTCTGTAGTACTCTGTGGTCCTCTGTAGTACTCTGTGGTCCTCTGTAGTACTCTGTAGTACTTTGTGGAACTCTGTAGTACTCTGTGGAACTCTGTAGTACTCTGTAGTCCTCTGTAGTACTCTGTAGTACTCTGTGGAACTCTGTAGTACTCTGTAGTCCTCTGTAGTACTCTGTAGTACTCTGTAGTACTCTGTGGTCCTCTGTAGTACTCTGTAGTCCTCTGTAGTACTCTGTAGTACTCTGTAGTCCTCTGTAGTACTCTGTAGTAGTAGTCTCTGTAGTAGTAGTCCTCTGTAGTACTCTGTAGTACTTTGTAGTACTCTGTAGTCCTCTGTAGTACTCTGTAGTACTTTGTAGTACTCTGTGTAGTAGTACTTGTAGTACTCTGTAGTCCTCTGTAGTAGTACTCTGTAGTACTGTAGTCTTTGTAGTAGTAGTAGTACTTTGTAGTACTTTGTAGTACTCTGTACTCTGTGGAAGTCGATATAAAAGTCGACAGATTTAGTGAAGTATAATTTTCTTTTTTCTTAAACTCAGGTTTGACTCGACTGGATTTAAACTGTTTGTTTGAGGCGACACTTCCTGTTCCTCTGCGTTTTTACGTCACATTTAAAAACTGTATTTGTAGTATTTGTAGTACTTGTAGTATTTGTAGTAGTATTTGTAGTACTTGTAATATTTGTAATATTTGTAGTATTTGTAGTATTTGTAGTACTTGTAGTATCTGTAGTACTTGTAGTACTTGTAGTACTTGTAATATTTGTAGTATTTGTAGTATTTATAGTAGTATTTTAGTAGTATTTGTAGTATTTGTAGTAGTATTTGTAGTAGTATTTGTAGTATTTGTAGTATGTGTAGTACTTGTAGTAGTATTTGTAGTATTTGTAGTACTTGTAGTATTTGTATTATTTGTATTATTTGTAGTACTTGTAGTATTTGTAGTATTTGTAGTACTTGTAGTATCTGTAGTACTTGTAGTACTTGTAATATTTGTAGTATTTGTAGTATTTATAGTAGTATTTGTAGTATTTATAGTATGTGTAGTACTTGTAGTAGTATTTGTAGTATTTGTAGTACTTGTAGTATTTGTTGTAGTATTTGTAGTATTTGTAGTATTTGTAGTATGTGTACTACTTGTAGTAGTATTTGTAGTATTTGTAGTACTTGTAATATTTGTAGTATTTGTAGTATTTGTGGTATTTGTAGTATTTGTAGTATTTGTGGTATTTACAGTATTTGTAGTATTTGTGGTATTTATAGTATTTGTAGTATTTGTAGTATGTGTAGTACTTGTAGTATTTAGAATATTTGTAGTATTTGTAGTATTTATAGTATTTGTAGTATTTGTAGTATGTGTAGTATTTGTAGTATTTGTAGTAATATTTGTAGTAGTATTTGTAGAAGTATTTGTAGTAGTATTTGTAGTAGTAGTAGTATGTGTAGTATTTGTAGTATTTTGTAGTAGTATTTGTAGTAGTATTTTGTAGTATTTGTAGTATTTGTGGTATTTATAGTATTTGTAGTATTTGTAGTATGTGTAGTACTTGTAGTATTTGTAGTATTTGTGGTATTTATAATATTTGTAGTATTTGTAGTATTTATAGTATTTGTAGTATGTGTAGTATTTGTAGTAATATTTGTAGTAGTATTTGTAGAAGTATTTGTAGTAGTATTTGTAGAAGTATTTGTAGTAGTATTTGTAGAAGTATTTGTAGTAGTATTTGTAGTACTTGTAGTATGTGTAGTATGTGTAGTAGTATCTGTAGTAGTATTTGTAGTATTTGTAGTATGTGTAGTATTTGTAGTAGTATTTGTAGTAGTATTTATAGTATTTGTAGTATTTGTAGTAGTATTTGTAGTATTTGTAGTATTTGTAGTATGTGTAGTATTTGTAGTAGTTTGTAGTAGTATTTGTAATATTTGTAGTATTTTGTAGTATTTGTAGTAGTTTTGTAGTATTTGTAGTATTTGTAGTAGTATTTGTAGTATTTGTAGTATTTGTAGTAGTATTTGTAGTATTTGTAGTAGTATTTGTAGTATTTGTAGTATTTGTACCGTAGCAGGTTCTCGGCTCCGTTCCTCAGCCTCAGTTCGTTGTTGTACTTGTAGTATTTGTTGTAGTATTGTAGTATTTGTAGTATGTGTACTACTTGTAGTAGTATTTGTAGTATTTGTAGTACTTGTAATATTTGTAGTATTTGTAGTATTTGTGGTATTTGTAGTATTTGTGGTATTTATAGTATTTGTAGTATTTGTGGTATTTATAGTATTTGTAGTATGTGTAGTACTTGTAGTATTTAGAATATTTGTAGTATTTGTAGTATTTATAGTATTTGTAGTATTTGCAGTATGTGTAGTATTTGTAGTAATATTTGTAGTAGTATTTGTAGAAGTATTTGTAGTAGTATTTGTAGTATTTGTAGTATGTGTAGTACTTGTAGTAGTATTTGTAGTATTTGTAGTATTTGTAGTATTTGTAGGTATTTATAGTATTTGTAGTATTTATAGTATTTGTAGTATTTGTGGTATTTATAGTATTTGTAGTATTTGTAGTATGTGTAGTACTTGTAGTATTTATAATATTTGTAGTATTTGTAGTATTTATAGTATTTGTAGTATGTGTAGTATTTGTAGTATTTGTAGTAATATTTGTAGTAGTATTTGTAGAAGTATTTGTAGTAGTATTTGTAGAAGTATTTGTAGTAGTATTTGTAGTATTTGTAGTATTTGTAGTATGTGTACTATGTGTAGTAGTATCTGTAGTAGTATTTGTAGTATTTGTAGTATTTGTAGTAGTATTTGTAGTATTTGTAGTAGTTGTAGTAGTATTTGTAGTATATTTGTAGTATTTGTGTAGTACTTTAGTAGTATTTGTAGTATTTGTAGTATTTGTAGTATTTGTAGTATTTGTAGTATTTGTAGTATTTGTAGTATTTGTAGTAGTATTTGTAGTATTTGTAGTAGTATTTGTAGTATTTGTAGTATTTTGTGTAGTATTTGTAGTATTTGTAGTAATATTTGTAGTAGTAGTATTTGTAGTAGTATTTGTAGTAGTATTTGTAGTATGTGTAGTACTTGTAGTAGTATTTGTAGTAATAATGTAGTATTTGTAGTAATATTTGTAGTAGTATTTGTAGAAGTATTTGTAGTAGTATTTGTAGTAGTATTTGTAGTATTTGTAGTATTTGTAGTATTGTAGTACTTGTTGTATTGTATTTGTAGTATTTGTAGTATTTGTAGTATTTGTAGTATTTTGTAGTATTTGTAGTAGTATTTTAGTAGTACTTGTAGTATTTGTAGTATTTGTAGTACTTGTAGTATTTGTAGTATTTGTAGTATTTATAGTATTTGTAGTAGTATTTGTAGTATGTGTAGTACTTGTAGTATTTATAAAATTTGTAGTATTTGTAGTATTTGTAGTAGTATTTGTAGTAGTATTTGTAGTATTTGTAGTAGTATTTGTAGTATTTGTAGTAGTATTTGTAGTAGTTTTTGTAGTATTTGTACCGTAGCAGGTTCTCGGCTCCGTTCCTCAGCCTCAGTTCGTTGTTGTACTTGTAGTATTTGTTGTAGTATTTGTAGTATTTGTAGTATGTGTACTACTTGTAGTAGTATTTGTAGTATTTGTAGTACTTGTAATATTTGTAGTATTTGTAGTATTTGTGGTATTTGTAGTATTTGTAGTATTTGTGGTATTTATAGTATTTTAGTTTGTGTAAAATACTACTACTACTACTACTGCCTAAAGTACAGTAGCAGTAGTATTTGTAGTATTTGTTGCTTTCATAATTTCTAAATGTTTGACCAAACTAAAAGGTGATTTAATATTTTTATTGAAAAACAAAAAAAATGAATAAAAGTAAATTTACAGTGAAACAGTTTCAGGATGAAAGTGTAAAGAAAAAAAAATACACATCAAATATTTAACTCAAAATATCTCCAAATATTAAAAAATATCTCAAATATTGAAAAACTCTAAACATCACCAGACCTGAGTCAAAATGTCGTGGTGGTGTGAGAATCGATCTGCGGAGGGTTTTGTGGTTTAAAGTGCGTGTCAAAGATTTTTAACCTTTTCATGTTCAAATTTAATCTGGAGATTAAACCTGCGATAAAAATAAATGAAAAATGTACACAAAACACAAGCAGTTTGAGAAAAAAATATTAAAAACACAACTGATGATGATGACATCACACTGGTGACATCACACTGATGACGTCACACTGATGACATCACCCATCCATCCATGTTCTTCTTCTTCTCCGGGTCTCGGGGGCTTCAGTCTGAGCAGAGACTCCCAAACTTCCTTCACCACAGACACTTCCTCCAGCTCCTCCGGGGGGTGATGACATCACACTGAGAATTCTGCCCAAAAGTTCATCGTCATCGTGATGTCACCGTGACGTCACCGTGACATCACCGTGACATCACAGTGACATCACCGTGACATCACCGTGACATCACCGTGACATCACCGTGACATCACCAGACGGCGCGGCGCCATCGTGTTTCACGAAAACGTCACATTTAAATAATCTGAAAATAATTTATTGATAAAACATAAAAAGGCCACGCCCCCAAAATCATTAACATATTTCACCTCAAATTATTTAAATTTGAATAAATTTAAAAAATAAAACTTTAAACAGAGTTCAGCTTCAGGACTAAACCAGGACTAAACCAGGTGAGTTTCGGGGAGGGGCGGGGCTTTGGTACAGGTGAGTTTCGGGGAGGGGCGGGGCTTTGGTACAGGTGAGTCTCGGGGAGGGGCGGGGCTTTGGTGCAGGTGAGTCTCGGGGAGGGGCAGGGCTCAGGTGTACAGCTGGAGGGCGGGGCTTTGGTACAGGTAAAGGTAGGCGTCGCACAGCAGCCTCTTGGCCACGCCCTTCATATCTCGAGGCGCCTGATTGGCCAGTTCGGACAGAGACATGTCCAGGTACCCGCCCACCTCCGGAGCCAGAGTCACCTGAGGAACGTTAAAGCCGTCCTCCTCACCTGGAACAAAAAACACACAACAAACTCAAAACAAACACACAACAAAGACATAGCACCAACACGAGGAGAAATAGTACTAGTAGTACTAGTATTTGCAGTAGAAGTAGTAGTAGTATTGTAGTAGTATTCGCAGTAGTAGTAGTTGTAGAAGTATTTGTAGTAGTAGTAGTAGTTGTAGAAGTATTTGTAGTAGTAGTAGTATTGTAGTAGTATTCGCAGTAGTAGTAGTACTAGTATTTGCAGTAGTAGTTGTAGAAGTATTTGTAGTAGTAGTAGTATTGTAGTAGTATTCGCAGTAGTAGTAGTAGTAGTATTTGCAGTAGTAGTAGTAGTAGTATTGTAGTAGTATTCGCAGTAGTAGTATTGTAGTATTTGCAGTAGTAGTAGTATTGTAGTAGTATTTGCAGTAGTAGTATTGTAGTAGTATTTGCAGTAGTAGTATTGTAGTAGTATTTGCAGTAGTAGTAGTAGTAGTATTTGCAGTAGTAGTATTGTAGTAGTATTTGCAGTAGTAGTAGTAGTAGTATTTGCAGTAGTAGTATTGTAGTAGTATTTGCAGTAGTAGTATTGTAGTAGTATTTGCAGTAGTAGTAGTAGTAGTAGTAGTAGTAGTAGTAGTAGTAGTCGCAGTAGTAGTAGTAGTAGTATTTGCAGTAGTAGTAGTAGTAGTAGTAGTAGTAGTTTTGCAGTAGTAGTAGTAGTAGTATTAGTAGCAGTAGTAGTAGTAGTAGTAGTTTGTAGTAGTATTTGCAGTAGTAGTAGTAGTAGTAGTATTTGCAGTAGTAGTAGTAGTAGTAGTAGTTGCAGTAGTAGTAGTAGTAGTAGTTAGTGCAGTAGTAGTAGTAGTAGTAGTAGTAGTAGTAGTAGTTTGCAGTAGTAGTAGTAGTAGTATTGCAGTAGTAGTAGTAGTAGTAGTAGTAGTGCAGTAGCAGTAGTAGTAGTATTTGCAGTAGTAGTAGTAGTAGTAGTAGTAGTAGTAGTAGTAGTAGCAGTAGTAGTAGTTGTAGTAGCATTCGCAGTAGTAGTAGTAGTAGTATTTGCAGTAGTAGTAGTAGTAGTTGTAGTAGTATTTGCAGTAGTAGTAGTAGTAGTATTTGTAGCAGTAGTAGCAGTAGTAGTATTGTAGTAGTATTTGCAGTAGTAGCAGTAGTAGTAGTAGTATGCAGTAGTAGTAGTAGTAGTATTTGCAGCAGTAGTAGTAGTAGTAGTATTTGCAGTAGTAGTAGTCAGCAGTAGTAGTATTGTAGTAGTATTTGCAGTAGTAGTAGTAGTATTTGCAGCAGTAGTAGTAGTAGTAGTATTCGCAGTAGCAGTAGTAGTAGTATTTGCAGTAGCAGTAGTAGTAGTATTTGCAGTAGTAGTAGTAGTAGTATTTGCAGTAGTAGTAGTAGTAGTAGTAGTAGTAGTAGTAGTAGTAGTAGTAGTAGTGTATTTCAGTAGTAGTAGTAGTAGTAGTAGTAGTATTTGCAGTAGTAGTAGTAGTAGTAGTAGTAGTAGTATTGCAGTAGTAGTAGTAGTAGTAGTAGTTGCAGTAGTAGTAGTAGTAGTAGTAGTAGTAGTAGTAGTAGTAGTAGTTAGTCAGTAGTAGTAGTAGTCAGTAGTAGTAGTAGTATTTTAGTAGTAGTATTGCAGTAGTAGTAGTAGTAGTATTTGTAGTAGTAGTAGTAGTAGTAGTATTCGTAGTAGTAGTAGTAGTAGTAGTAGTTGCAGTAGTAGTAGTAGTAGTAGTAGTAGTAGTAGTAGCAGTAGTAGTAGTATTTCAGTAGTAGTAGTATTTTGTAGTAGTAGTAGTGCAGTAGCAGTAGTAGTAGTAGTTTGCAGTAGTAGTAGTAGTAGTAGTAGTAGTAGTAGTAGCAGTAGTAGTAGTATTGCAGTAGTAGTATTTGCAGTAGTAGTATTTGCAGTAGTAGTAGTAGTAGTATGCAGTAGTAGTAGTAGTAGTAGCAGTAGTAGTAGTAGTAGTAGTAGTAGTAGTAGTAGTAGTAGTAGTAGTAGTAGTAGTAGTAGTAGTATTTGCAGTAGTAGTAGTAGTAGTAGTTAGTAGTAGTGCAGTAGTAGTAGTATTGTAGTATTTGCAGTAGTATAGTAGTAGTATTTGCAGTAGTAGTAGTAGTAGTAGTCAGTAGTAGCAGTAGTAGTAGTAGTAGCAGTAGTAGCAGTAGTAGTAGTATTTGCAGTAGTAGTAGTAGTAGTATTTGCAGTAGTAGTAGTAGTAGTATTTGCAGTAGTAGTAGTAGTAGTATTCGCAGTAGCAGTAGTAGTAGTATTTGCAGTAGTAGTAGTAGTAGTATTTGCAGTAGTAGTAGTAGTAGTAGTAGTAGTAGTAGTAGTAGTAGTAGTAGTAGTAGTAGTATTTGCAGTAGTAGTAGTAGTAGTATTTGCAGTAGTAGTAGTAGTAGTATAGTCAGTAGTAGTAGTAGTAGTAGTTTAGCAGTAGTAGTAGTCAGTAGTTAGTAGTAGTAGTTGTAGTAGTATTTGCAGTAGTAGCAGTAGTAGTAGTATTTGCAGTAGTAGTAGTAGTAGCAGTAGTTAGTATTTTTGCAGTAGTAGTAGTAGTAGTAGTTGCAGTAGTAGTTAGTAGTAGTAGTATTAGTAGCAGTAGTAGTAGTAGTAGTAGTAGTAGTAGTAGTTTGCAGTAGCAGTAGTAGTAGTAGTATTTGCAGTAGTAGTAGTAGTAGTAGTATTTGCAGTAGTAGTAGTAGTAGTATTTGCAAGTAGTAGTAGTAGTAGCAGTAGTAGTAGTAGTAGTTGTAGTAGCAGTAGTAGTATAGTATTTGCAGTAGTAGTAGTAGTAGTAGTTATAGTAGTAGTATAGTAGTAGTAGTTGCAGTAGTAGTAGTAGTAGTATTTGCAGTAGTATTCAGTAGTAGTATTGTAGTAGTAGTAGTAGTAGTAGTAGCAGTAGTAGCAGTAGTAGTAGTAGTAGTTTGCAGTAGTAGTAGTCAGTAGTAGTAGTATTTGCAGTAGTAGTAGTAGTAGTATTTAGCAGTAGTAGCAGTAGTAGTAGTATTTGCAGTATTTGCAGTAGTAGTAGTAGTAGTATTTGCAGTAGTAGTAGTAGTAGTAGTATTCGCAGTAGTAGTCAGTAGTATTCGCAGTAGTAGTAGTAGTAGTATTTGCAGTAGTAGTAGTAGTAGTATTTGCAGTAGTATTCGCAGTAGTAGTATTGTAGTAGTATTTGCAGTAGTAGCAGTAGTAGTAGCAGTAGTAGTAGTTTGCAGTAGTAGTAGTAGTAGTAGTAGTTTGCAGTAGTAGCAGTAGTAGTAGTATTTGCGTAGTAGTAGTAGTAGTATGTAGCAGTAGTATGCAGTAGTAGTATTGTAGTAGTATTTGCAGTAGTAGCAGTAGTAGTAGTATTTGCAGTAGCAGTAGTAGTAGTATTTGCAGTAGTAGCAGTAGTAGTAGTATTTGCAGTAGCAGTAGTAGTAGTAGTAGTAGTATGCAGTAGTAGTAGTAGTAGTAGTAGTAGTAGTAGTAGTAGTAGTCAGTAGTAGTAGTAGTGTAGTAGTTAGTAGTAGTATAGTAGTATTTGCAGTAGTAGTAGTAGTAGTAGTAGTAGTGCAGTAGTATAGTAGCAGTATAGTAGTAGTAGTATTTGCAGTAGTATGCAGTAGTAGCAGTAGTAGTAGTAGTAGCAGTAGTAGTAGTATCAGTAGCAGTAGTAGTAGTATTTGCAGTAGTAGTAGTAGTGGTATTTGCAGTAGTAGCAGTAGTAGTAGTATTTGCAGTAGCAGTAGTAGTAGTATTTGCAGTAGCAGTAGTAGTAGTATTTGCAGTACTCGTACCGTGGCGGTCGGCCATGCTGTCGTAGAAGAGCCACTGTTCTCTTTCAGGTCCGTACTTGACGAAGGAAACGTAGTGACTCGTCTCGATGCACAAAACGGCCAGAAGGTGGAGCCGCTCCCTGTTTCCACGGAGACACTGGGAAGGGGGCGGGGCCAGGGGGAGGGGCTGTGACCACGGCGACGGGGGTGGGCGTGGACCTGAGCGAGACAATTGTGTGTCAGGTGCTCTCCTGTGTGTGTCAGGTGCTCTCCTGTGTGTGTCAGGTGCTCTCCTGTGTGTGTCAGGTGCCCTCCCTGTGTGTGTGTCAGGTGCCCTTCCCCCATGTGTGTCAGGTGCTCTCCTGTGTGTGTCAGGTGCTCAGTGTGCTCAGGTGCTCCTGTGGTGTGTCAGGTGCTCTTCCTGTGTGTGTCAGGTGCGTACCTGTGTGTGTCAGGTGCGTACCTGTGTGTGTCAGGTGCTCTCCTGTGTGTGTCAGGTGCCCTTCCCCCATGTGTGTCAGGTGCGTACCTGTGTGTGTCAGGTGCTCTCCTGTGTGTGTCAGGTGCTCTCCTGTGTGTGTCAGGTGTCTCGTGTGTCAGGTGTCAGTGTGTGTCAGGTGCTTCCCCCATGTGTGTGTCAGGTGCTCTCCTGTGTGTGTCAGGTGCCCTCTTGTGTGTGTCAGGTGCTTTCCTGTGTGTGTCAGGTGCTCTCCTGTGTGTGTCAGGTGCCCTCTTGTGTGTGTCAGGTGCCCTTCCCCCATGTGTGTCAGGTGCTCTCCTGTGTGTGTCAGGTGCGTACCTGTGTGTGTCAGGTGCTCTCCTGTGTGTGTCAGGTGCCCTTCCCCCATGTGTGTCAGGTGCTCTCCTGTGTGTGTCAGGTGCTCTCCTGTGTGTCAGGTGCCCTCCTGTGTGTCAGGTGCTCTCCTGTGTGTGTCAGGTGCTCTCCTGTGTGTCAGGTGCTCTCTCTGTGTGTCAGGTGCTCTCCTGTGTGTGTCAGGTGCTCTCCTGTGTGTGTCAGGTGCTCTCCTGTGTGTCAGGTGCTCTCCTGTGTGTGTCAGTGTCAGGTGCCCTCCTGTGTGTCAGGTGCTCCTGTGTGTGTCAGGTGCTCCTCCTGTGTGTGTCAGGTGCCCTCCTGTGTGTCAGTCAGGTGCCCTCCTGTGTGTCAGGTGCTCTCCTGTGTGTCAGGTGCAGGTGCTCTCCTGTGTGTCAGGTGCCCTCCTGTGTGTCAGGTGCTCTCCTGTGTGTCAGGTGCTCAGGTGCTCTCCTGTGTGTCCAGGTGCAGTGTCCCTCCTGTGTGTCAGGTGCTCAGGTGCTCTCCTGTGTGTCAGGTGCCCTCCTGTGTGTCAGGTGCTCTCCTGTGTGTGTCAGGTGCTCTCCTGTGTGTCAGGTGCTCTCCTGTGTGTCAGGTGCTCTCCTGTGTGTCAGGTGCTCCTCCTGTGTGTCAGGTGCTCAGGTGCTCTCCTGTGTGTGGTCAGGTGCTCTCCTGTGTGTCAGGTGCTCTCCTGGTGTCCTGTGTGTTCAGGTGCTCTCCTGTGTGTCAGGTGCTCTCCTGTGTGTGTCAGGTGCTCTCCTGTGTGTCAGGTGCTCAGGTGCTCTCCTGTGTGTCAGGTGCCCTCCTGTGTGTCAGGTGCTCTCCTGTGTGTCAGGTGCTGTGTGTCAGGTGCCCTCCTGTGTGTCAGGTGCTCTCCTGTGTGTGTTCAGGTGCTCTCCTGTGTGTCAGGTGCTCTCCTGTGTGTCAGGTGCGTACCTGTCGGCTGCACACGTCACAGAAGAGCTTGAATCCTCCAGAGCCGAACGTCGCGTCGATGAAACAGTCCGAGCACTCGTACGAGGCTCCGCCCCCACAGAGAACGCACTGTTTAAGACCTGAGGAGAGACCAGGACTAGACCAGGACTAGACCAGGACTAGAGCAGGACTAGACCAGGACTAGACCAGGACTAGACCAGGACTAGACCAGGACTAGACCAGGACTAGACCAGGACTAGACCAGACTAGACAGAGACTAAACCAGGACTAAGGACCCAGGACTAAACCAGGACTAGACCAGGACTAGAGCAGGACTAAACCAGGACTAAACCAGACTAGACCAGGACTAGACCAGGACTAAACCAGGACTAAACAGAGACTAGACCAGGACTAGACCAGGACTAAACCAGGACTAAACCAGGACTAGACCAGGACTAAACAGGACTAGAGCAGGACTAAACAGGGACTAACCAGGACTAAACCAGGACTAGACCAGGACTAAACCAGGACTAAACCAGGACTAGGACCAGACTAAACCAGGACTAGAGGGACTAAACAGGACTAGACCAGGACTAGAGCAGGACTAAACCAGGACTAGACCAGGACTAGACCAGGACTAGACCAGGACTAAACCAGAACTAAACCAGGACTAGACCAGGACTAGACCAGGACTAGACCAGGACTAGAGCAGGACTAAACCAGGACTAACCAGGACTAGACCAGGACTAAACCAGGACTAAACCAGGACTAGACCAGGACTAGACCAGGACTAGACCAGGACTAAACCAGAACTAAACCAGGACTAGACCAGGACTAGACCAGAACTAAACCAGGACTAGACCAGGACTAGACCAGAACTAAACCAGGACTAGACCAGGACTAAACCAGGACTAAACCAGGACTAAACCAGGACTAGACCAGAACTAGAGCAGGACTAGACCAGGACTAAACCAGGACTAAACCAGGACTAAACCAGGACTAAACCAGGACTAGACCAGAACTAAACCAGGACTAGACCAGGACTAGACCAGGACTAGACCAGGACTAAACCAGAACTAAACCAGGACTAGACCAGGACTAAACCAGGACTAGACCAGGACTAAACCAGGACTAGACCAGGACTAAACCAGGACTAAACCAGGACTAGACCAGGACTAGACCAGGACTAGACCAGGACTAAACCAGAACTAAACCAGGACTAGACCAGGACTAAACAGGACTAGACAGGACTAAACCAGGACTAGACCAGAACTAAACCAGGACTAGACCAGGACTAGACCAGGACTAACCAGGACTAAACCAGAACTAAACCAGGACTAGACCAGGACTAAACCAGGACTAGACCAGAACTAAACCAGGACTAGACCAGGACTAGACCAGGACTAGACCAGGACTAAACCAGGTCAGGACCAGGACTAGACCAGGACTAGACCAGGACTAGACCAGGACTGATCGGGGTCTTACCGTGCTGGAGCAGGTCTGTCACGTCGAGCTCCAGCGAGGGGATGATTTTGTCGAACATTTTGAACTTTTTTCCAAAACGAGGCATTTGTAAAATCAAACACGAAGGAACCTGTGGACAGAAGGAGGGTCAGACTGAGTCCTGGTCTAGTCCTGGTCTAGTCCTGGTCTAGTCCTGGTCTAGTCCTGGTTCAGTCCTGGTCCAGTCCAGGTCCAGTCCTGGTCCAGTCCTGGTCCTGACCTGGTTCAGTTTGAGTCCGTTGCTGTACAGGGAGTGCTCCAGCAGCTGTTGGACCGTGGGCAGGACCAGGCCGTGGTTCTGGTCCAAAAAGATCTGGAAACAGAACGAGTCCTGGACCTTCCCTCCAGAACACCTGCAAGACACGTGCCAAAACTGAACACCTGCAAGACACCGGCCAAAACTGAACACCTGCAAGACACGTGCCAAAACTGAACACCTGCAAGACACGTGCCAAAACTGAACACCTGCAAGACACGTGCCAAAACTGAACACCTGCAAGACACGTGCCAAAACTGAACACCTGCAAGACACGTGCCAAAACTAAACACCTGCAAGACACGTGCCAAAACTGAACACCTGCAAGACACGTGCCAAAACTGAACACCTGCAAGACACCGGCCAAAACTGAACACCTGCAAGACACGTGCCAAAACTGAACACCTGCAAGACACGTGCCAAAACTGAACACCTGCAAGACACGTGCCAAAACTGAACACCTGCAAGACACGTACCAAAACTGAACACCTGCAAGACACCGACCAAAACTGAACACCTGCAAGACACGTGCCAAAACTGAACACCTGCAAGACACGTACCAAAACTGAACACCTGCAAGACACCGACCAAAACTGAACACCTGCAAGACACATGCCAAAACTGAACACCTGCAAGACACCGGCCAAAACTGAACACCTGCAAAACACCAACCAAAACTGAACGCCTGAAAGGCACGTACCAAAACTGAGCGCCTGTAAGACATGTGCCAAAACTGAACACCTGCAAGACACAGACCAAAACTGAACACCTGCAAAACACGTTCCAAAACTGAACACCTGCAAGACACCGGCCAAAACTGAACACCTGCAAAACACCAACCAAAACTGAACGCCTGAAAGGCACGTACCAAAACTGAGCGCCTGTAAGACATGTGCCAAAACTGAACACCTGCAAGACACAGACCAAAACTGAACACCTGCAAAACACGTTCCAAAACTGAACACCTGCAAGACACCGGCCAAAACTGAACACCTGCAAGACACAGACCAAAACTGAACACCTGCAAAACACGTTCCAAAACTGAACACCTGCAAGACACGTGCCAAAACTGAACACCTGCAAGACACGTGCCAAAACTGAACACCTGCAAGACACGTGCCAAAACTGAAAACCTGCAAGACACCAACCAAAACTGAACACCTGCAAGACGCATGCCAAAACTGAGCGCCTGCAGGACACCAGCCAAAACTGAACACCTGCAAGACACATGCCAAAACTGAACACCTGCAAGACATGCCAAAACTGAGCACCTGCAAGACACCAGCCAAAATTTAACACCTGCAAGACGCGTGCCAAAACTGAGCGCCTGCAAGACACCGACCAAAACTGAGCACCTGCAAAACACGTGCCAAAACTGAGCACCTGCAAGACACCGGCCAATCACAACTGAGCACCTGAAAGATCGGTCAATTAAAACAAGTAATTTGTGCCAATTTGTTTCATCGCTTCAAAGGGCGCTCTGCTTCTGACCTCGACCACGAAAAAAAAGATTGTGGTTCGAATTTAAGAATTAAAAGAAATCGCATCGGCCAATCAGAGCTCAGAACAGAGGACCAATCAGAGCTCAGGACAGAGGACCAATCAGAACGCAAGACAGAGGGACGTACAGTTGGAGCAGTGGGTCCAGGGCGAGGACGTGATTCATGAGGACGGAGAGAAACTCCTCTGGATCTGAAACACACAAAGACACACAACTCAACACAACGACACACAAAGACACACAAAGACACATCCTGTACACCTGTATGGTTTGTGTTATGATCTGTACTCTGTATGCCTGTATGGTCTCTGTACGCCTGTATGGTCCCTGTACACCTGTATGGTCTCTGTACGCCTGTTTGGTCTCTGTACGCCTGTATGGTCCCTGTACGCCTGTATGGTCCCTGTACACCTGTATGGTCTGTGTTGTGGTTTGTGTGGTGAACCTTTCTCGTCGGTGGTGAAGCTTTCGCCGTGTTTCTGAAGCTGCCTCCTCAAGTTCATCACGTGACGTCCCTCCACAAAACCATCTCTGCAAAAAAAAACAACAAATCAAAACGTGCCAGATGCCCTCCCAGCACAGGCTCCATGCACAGGACCCTCTACAGACCAACTAGTATTAGCTGCAGTATCAGTAGTAGTATTTGTAGTATCGTAGTATTTGTAGTATTTGTAGTATTCATAGTGAGTACCTTCGTAGCGGGTTGACGATGTCCTGCAGTAAAATCTTCTGAACTTCAGCGTCCTGAGGTGAAGTCGATTTAAACAAAAGAGAATCCAAAACAGACGAACAACTGAAAAGACTGAAGGACAAAGAGACACAGAAACAAAAGACAAAAGACATGAGTGAGAGAGGAGAGGAGAGAGGAGACACATGGAGACATGTCCCGACCTGAAGAGGGCGCTGTCCATGTAGCAGGAGTTATGGTGACCCTGGATGCCCTTCATCTTCCCCACCAGGAGGCGCTCCACCTGCTCCACCGCCGGAGGAGGAACCGGCTCTGAGGAGACGAGAGAGAAGAGGAGGAGGAGGAGAGAGGGAAGAGGAGGAGGAGAGAGAAGAGGAGGAGGAGAGAGAGGGGAGAGAGGAGAGGAGAGGAGGGAGACGAGAGAGAAGAGGAGGAGGAGAGAGAAGAAGAGAGAGAGAGGAGGAGGAGACGAGAGAAGAGGAGGAGGAGAGAGAAGAGAGAGGAGAGAGGAGAAGAGAGGAGAGAGAGAGAGAGGAGGAGGAGAGAGGAGAGGAGAGAGAGAGAGGAGAGAGAGGAGAGAGAAGAGGAGAGGAGAGAGAAGAGGAGGAGGAGGAGGAGGAGAGGAGAGGAGAAGAGGAGAGAGAGGAGGAGGAGAGAGAGAGGAGGAGGAGGAGGAGAGAGAGAGGAGAGAGAGAGAGAGAGGAGAGAGAGGAGAGAGAGAGAGAGAGAGGAGGAGAGAGGAGAGAGAGGAGAGAGAGAGAGGAGAGAGAGAGAGAGAGAGGAGGAGAGAGGAGAGAGAGGAGGAGGAGGAGAGAGAGGAGAGAGAGAGAGAGAAGAGGAGAGGAGAGAGAGAGAGAGAGGAGGAGAGAGAGAGGAGAGAGGAGAGGAGGAGAGAGGAGAGAGAGAGAGAGAGAGGAGAGAGAGAGGAGGAGGAGAGAGAAGAGGAGGAGGAGAGAGAGAGGAGGAGAGGAGAGAGAGGAGGAGAGAGAGAGAGAGAGAAGAGAGAGAAGAGAGGAGGAGAGAGAAGAGAGGAGGAGAGAGAGAGAAGAGAGGAGAGAGAGAGAGAAGAGAGGAGGAGAGAGAGAGGAGAGAGGAGGAGAGAGAGAGAGGAGGAGAGAGAGAGAGAGAGAGAGAGGAGGAGAGAGAGAGAGAGAGGAGGAGGAGAGAGAGGAAGAGGAGAGAGGAGAGGAGAGAGAGAGGAGAGAGGAGGAGAGAGAGGAGGAGAGGAGAGAGAGGAGAGGAGAGAGAGAGAGGAGAGAGAGAGAGAGAGGAGAGAGAAGAGAGAGGAGAGGAGAGAAGAGGAGGAGACGAGGAGAAGAGAGAGAGAGAGAGAGGAGAGGAGAGAGAGAGGAGAGAGAGAGAAGAGGAGGAGGAGAGAGAGAGAGAGAGAGAGAAGAGGAGAGAGAAGAGAGGAAGAGGAGACGAGAAGAAGGAGGAGGAGGAGAGAGAAGAGAGAGAGAGAGAGAGAGGAGGAGAGAGAGAGAGGAGAGAGAGAGGAGGAGGAGGAGAGGGAAGAGGAGATGAGAGGGAAGAGGAGATGAGAGGAGGGTCCAAAGACAGGCAGTAGAAGTGTTTTGCTCAAGGACACGTCACAAAGACGTCCGTCTCACCTGCGTCGTCTGCGCTGAACTGATTCACTCGAGTTTTCTTCAGAGGAGCGCTGTAATTGGACGAGTCTGTCCAGCTCCGAGCGCTGTGATTGGCCGCGTCTCTGCCGTTTCGAGCGCTCTGATTGGCCGAGCTGAAGCGTGAGTCGGGGCGGCAGGACGAGAGCTTCACGAACAGGGCGTGTTTCTCTGGACACCTGAAACACCTGAGGCCCCGGAACGTCCCGTCACTCACACCGACAGGGTTCTCCTGCACACACAGGCAGGGTCAGGACAAAGGAACACAGAAGAACACAGAGGAACACAGAAGAACATGGAAGAACACGGAAGAACATGGAAGAACACAGAAGAACACGGAAGAACACGGAAGAACACAGAAGAACACAGAGGAACACAGAGGAACACGGAAGAACACAGAAGAACATAGAAGAACACAGAGGAACACAGAGGAACACGGAAGAACACAGAGGAACAGAGAGAACACAGAGAGAAACACAGAGGAACACAGAGAAGAACACAGAAGAACAAGAGGAACAGACAGAACACGAAGAACACGGAAGAACACAGAGGAACATAGAAGAACACAGAGAACACAGAGGAACACAGAGGAACACAGAAAACACAGAGAACACAAGAAGAACACAGAAGACACAGAGAAACACAGAAGAAACACGGAAGAACAGAAACACAGAAACACAGAGAACACAGAAGAAAGAAGAAGAACACAGAAGAACACAGAAGAACACAGAGGAACACAGAGGAACACAGAAACATAGAAGACATAGAAGAACACAGAAGAACACAGAAGAACACAGAGGAACACAGAAGAACACAGAAGAACACAGAAGAACACAGAAGAACATAGAAGAACACAGAAGAACATAGAAGAACATAGAAAACACAGAGAACACAGAAGAACACAGAAGAACATAGAAGAACACAGAAGAACACAGAAGAACACAGAAGAACACAGAAGAAGAACACAGGAGAACACAGGAGAACACAGAAGAACACAGAAGAACACAGAAGAACACAGAAGAAGAAACAGAAGAACATAGAAGAACAGAAGAACACAGAACACAGAAGAACATAGAAGAACACAGAAGAACACAGAAGAACATAGAAGAACACAGAGAACACAGAGAACACAGAAGAAACAGAAGAACACAGAAGAACACAGAAGAACACAGAAGAACACAGAAGAACACAGAGGAAACACAGAGGAACACAGAAGAACACAGAGAACACAGAGAACACGAAAGAACACAGAAGAACATAGAAGAACACAGAAGAACACGGAAGAACACAGAAGAACATAGAAGAACACAGAGGAACACAGAGGAACACAGAAGAACACAGAGGAACACAGAAGAACACAGAGGAACACAGAAGGAACACAGAAGAACACAGAGGAACACAGAAGAACACAGAAGAACACAGAGGAACACAGAAGAACACAGAAGAACACAGAGGAACACAGAGGAACACAGAGGAACACAGAGGAACACAGAGGAACACAGAAGAACACGGAAGAACACGGAAGAACACAGAAGAACACAGAAGAACACAGAAGAACACAGAAGAACACAGAGGAACACAGAAGAACACAGAGGAACATAGAAGAACATAGAAGAACACAGAAGAACACAGAAGAACATAGAAGAACACAGAGGAACATAGAAGAACAGAAGAACACAGAAGAACACAGAAGAACACAGAAGAACACAGAAGAACACAGAAGAACATAGAAGAACACAGAGAACACAGAAACACAGAAAAGAACACAGAGAACATAGAAGAACACAGAGGAACATAGAAGAACACAGAAGAACACAGAGGAACACAGAAGAACACAGAAGAACACAGAAGAACATAGAAGAACACAGAAGAACACAGAAGAACATAGAAGAACACAGAAGAACACAGAAGAACACAGAAGGAACACAGAGAACACAGAAGAACATAGAAGAACACAGAAGAACAGAAGAACACAGAGAACACAGAGGAAACACGGAAAACACAGAAAAGAAGACACAGAAGAAACACAGAAGAACACAGAAGAACACAGAAGAACACAGAAGAACACAGAAGAACACAGAGGAACAAGAACACAGAAGAACACAGAGGAACACAGGAAGAACACAGAAGAACATAGAAACACAGAAGAACACGGAAGAACACAGAAGAACATAGAAGAACACAGAGGAACACAGAAAGAACAGAAGAACACAGAAGAACACAGAAGAACACAGAAACACAGAGGAACACAGAACACAGAAGAACACAGAGAAGAACACAGAAAACATAGAAGAACACAGAAGAACACAGAAGAACACAGAAGAACACAGAAGAACACAGAAGAACACAGAAGAACACAGAAGAACAGAAGAACACAGAAGAACATAGAAGAACATAGAAGAACACAGAAGAACACAGAGGAAGAACACAGAAGAACACAGAAGAAAGAACACAGAAGAACATAGAAGAACACAGAGAAACACAGAGGAACACAGAAGAACACAGAAGAAACACAGAAGAACACACAGAAGAACATAGAAGAACACAGAGGAACACAGAAGAACACAGAAGAACATAGAAGAACACAGAAGAACATAGAAGAACAGAAGAACACAGAAGAACACAGAAGAACACAGAAGAACACAGAAGAACACAGAAGAACATAGAAGAACACAGAAGAACATAGAAGAACACAGAAGAACACAGAAGAACACAGAAAACACGAAGAACATAGAAGAACACAGAAGAACATAGAAGAAACATAGAACATAGAAGAACACAGAAGAACACAGAAGAACAGAAACAAGAAAACACAGAACACAGATAGAAGAACAAGAACATAGAAGAACACACAGAAGAACACAGAAGAAACACAGAAGAACACAGAAGAACACAGAAGAACGCAGGAGAACACAGAAGAACACAGAAGAACACAGAAGAACACAGAAGAACAGAGAAGAACACAGAAGAACATAGAAGAACACAGAAGAACACAGAAGAACACAGAAGAACACAGAAGAAGAAGAACATAGAAGAACACAGAAGAACATAGAAGAACACAGAGAACATAGAAGAGAACATAGAAGAACATAGAAGAAACACGAAAGAACACACATAGAAACAAGAACACAGAAGAACATAGAACATAGAAGAACATAGAAGAACACAGAAAGAACACAGAAGAACACAGAAGAACACACAGAGAAACAGAAGAAACACAGAAGAACACAGAAGAACACAGAAGAACACAGAAGAACACAGAAGAACACAGAAACAGAACACAGAAGAACACAGAAGAACACAGAAGAACAAGAAGAACACAGAAGAACACAGAAGAACATAGAAGAACACAGAAGAGAAGAACACAGAAGAAGAAAAGAACATAGAAGAACAGGAAGAACACAGAAGAACACAGAGAACACAGAAGAACATAGAAGAACACAGGAAGAACACACAGAAGAACTAGAAAGAACACAGAGGAACATAAGAAGAACACACAGGAAAGAACATAGAAGAACACGGAAGAACATAGAAGAACACAGAGGAACACATAGAAGAACACAGAAGAAGAACATAGAAGAACACAGAAGAACAGAACACAGAAGAACACAGAAGAACACAAGAAGAACACAGAAGAAACACAGAAGAACACAGAAGAACACAGAAGAACACAGAAGAACATAGAGAACAGAAACACAGAAGAACATAGAAGAACACAGAAGAACACAGAGGAAACATAGAAGAACACGAAGAACACAGAAGAACACACAGAAGAACACGGAAGAACATAGAAAACAGAACACAGAAGAACACAGAAGAACATAGAAGAACACAAGAAGAACACAGAAGAACACGAAGAACACAGAAGAACACATAGAAAGAACACACAAGAACATAGAAGAACACAGAGGAACACAGAAGGAACAGAAGAAGAAACACAGAGGAACACAGAAGAACACAGAAGAACATAGAAGAACATAGAAGAACACAGAAGAACATAGAAGAACACAGAAGAAACAGAAGAACATAGAAGAACACAGAGGAACACAGAAGAACACAGAAGGAACACAGAGGAACACAGAAGAACACAGAAAGAACATAGAGAACACAGAAGAACACAGAAGAACAACAGAGAACACAGAAGAACACAGAGAACACAGAAGAACACAGGAGAACACAGAACACAGAAGAACACAGAGGAACACAGAAGAACACAGAAGAACACAGAAGAACACAGAAGAACAGAAGAACATAGAAGAACCCAGAGGAACATAGAAGAACACAGAAGAACACAGAGGAACATAGAAGAACATAGAAGAACACGGAGAACACAGAAGAACACAGAAGAACACAGAAGAACACAGAAGAACACAGAAGAACCCAGAGAACATAGAAGAACACAGAAGAACACAGAAGAACACAGAGGAACATAGAAGAACACGGAGGAACACAGAAGAACATAGAAGAGCACAGAAGAACACAGAAGAACCCAGAGGAACATAGAAGAACACAGAAGAACACAGAGGAACACAGAGGAACATAGAAGAACACGGAGGAACACAGAAGAACACAGAGGAACACAGAAGAACACAGAGGAACACAGAGGAACACAGAAGAACATAGAAGAACACGGAGGAACACAGAGGAACACAGAAGAACACAGAAGAACACAGAGGAACACAGAAGAACACAGAAGAACACAGAAGAACACAGAAGAACACAGAGGAACACAGAAGAACACAGAAGAACACAGAGGAACACAGAAGAACACAGAGAACACAGAAGAACATAGAAGAACACGGAGGAACACAGAAGAACATAGAAGAACACGGAGGAACACAGAAGAACACAGAAGAACATAGAAGAACACGAAAGAACACAGAAGAACACAGAAGAACATAGAAGAACCCAGAAGAACATAGAAGAGCACAGAGAACACAGAAGAACACAGAAGAACACAGAGGAACACAGAAGAACACAGAGGAACATAGAAGAACATGAAAGAACACAGAAGAACACAGAGGAACATAGAAGAAACACAGAAAACACAGAAGAACACAGAGAAACAGAAGAACATAGAAGAACACAGAAGAACACAGAAGAACACAGAAGAACATAGAAGAACACAGAGGAACACAGAAGAACACAGAGGAACATAGAAGAACATGAAAGAACACAGAAGAACACAGAAGAACATAGAAGAACTCAGAGGAACACAGAAGAACACAGAAGAACATAGAAGAACACGAAAGAACACAGAGGAACACAGAAGAACACAGAAGAACATAGAGGAACATAGAAGAACACAGAAGAACACAGAGGAACACAGAAGAACACAGAAGAACACAGAAGAACACAGAGGAACACAGAAGAACACAGAGGAACACAGAAGAACACAGAAGAACACAGAGGAACACAGAAGAACACAGAAGAACCCAGAGGACTCACCAGCTCCAGACCGGCCATCACGTGCTTTGCGCCCGGCAGATTCCCGATCCACCGAATGGTCCCGAAGCCGCTCCCGGTCCCCAGGTCGATCTCCACCACAGAGTCCAGATCCAGAACATCTGCAGTGGAGGCCCCCTCAGGATCTGCCATGTACAGGTCATCTGGGTCTGACGGAACACAAATATGAACCAGGACTAAACCAGGACTAAACCAGGACTAACCAGGACTAAACCAGGTCTAAACCAGGACTAAACCAGGACTTAACCAGGACTGAACCAGAACTAAACCAGGACTATAACAGTGTGAATTACAGATTGTGATTGTACTATGTACTAATGTAGATCTGACAAAAGGAGAACATCCTTTTTTCAACCAGACAAAGACTTTTGTGGATGGATGTTATGGATGTTCTCCTTCTGTCATGTTCTACTGAGACGTCTGTGGGACTTTGCACAAATACTGTGGATGTGTGCAGAACCTGGATCAGGTTCCAGTTTGGCGACGCCCTCAAGAGGAACAATGGAGGTCCGTGAGTCGCCCTGGAACACACAAGAACACTAAAGAACACTCAGGAACATCAAAGAACACTCAGGAACATCAAAGAACACTCAGGAACACTAAAGAACACTCAGGAACACCAACGAACACTCAGGAACACTAAAGAACACTCAGGAAGAACACTCAGGAACATCAAAGAACACTCAGGAACATCAAAGAACACTCAGGAACACTAAAGAACACTCAGTCCCACAAACGAACACTCAGGAACACCAACGAACACTCAGGAACACTAAACGAACACTCAGGAACACTAAAGAACACTCAGGAACACTAAAGAACACTCAGGAACATCAGAAAAACACTCAGGAACATCAAAGAACACTCAGGAACACTAAAGAACACTCAGGAACACTAAAGAACACTCAGGAACATCAAAGAACACTCAGGAACACTAAAGAACACTCAGGAACACTGAAGAACACTCAGGACCACAGGAATAGAGATGGACGATATGTTTTTTTCACAACAAAACTAAATATCGGTCTGTGCTGGAGATTTAAGGCCAAGAGACAATACACTAAGAACTGCAAATATCGAACCGATTAATTATCTCTGCTGAAGAACACGGAGGAACAGTATCTACACGTAAACCGCGCCTCCTGCCTTTTCTCTCTGTAACTGTCCTAATGTGAGGAAATGTTCCGCAGTGGGGCTTTAATCAGGACTCACCAGGATGTGGACCTGAGTTGTATCCTGGTTCTTCTCGATGAAGATCACAGTGCCCTCTTCAGTCTGGTCCTGGTCGGTGATGAACATAACCCGGTCTCCTGCTGTGAGGCTGGACTCACGTTTAGGTCCCTCAGGTCTGGACTCTGGTCTGAACCCTGGTCTGGACTCTGGTCTGGACTCTGGTCTGGACTCTGGTCTGGACTGTCCGGTCTTGGATTCTTCAGATCCTGGTTTTGGTTCCTTTGAGTCTGAGGGAGGAACAGTGTTTGTGTCAAATAAACGCTGAACTATAAAGACCCGTCCAGTGTTCACTTAAAGCCAGATGCCCTTCCATTCGAGCCTCCAAACATCACAGACTCTGAGTTTTGACTCGTTTCACACAAACGTCCATCTGTTCCAAAGGCCAGAATCATGTTTGTATTTTTGGGTTAAAGAGAAGGTTCCGTCAGCAGTGGTTCCACACGAGTCACTTCTGGAAGCGTCTTAAAGTTGAAATAAATGATTCTAAACGAACCTGAACCAGCTCCAGGCTCCACCTTCAGGACGTTCTGCAGATGAACCTGCCACGCCTTCCCCAAGACGCCCTGAAACACAAAGTCCGAGTAAAGACTGAAACAGGTCTGAAACAGGACTAAAACAGGACTATAACAGGTCTGAAACAGGTCTGAAAACAGGACTAGGACTATAACAGGTCTGAAACAGGACTATAACAGGACTGAAACAGGACTGAAACAGGACTATAACAGGTCTGAAACAGGTCTGAAACAGGACTCTGAAACAGGTCTGAAACAGGACTATAACAGGACTATAACAGGACTGAAACAGGACTATAACAGGAAACAGGACTATAACTGAAACAGGTCTGAAACAGGACTATAACAGGACAGGACTATAACAGAAACAGGTCTGAAACAGGACTATAACAGGACTGAAACAGGACTATAACAGGTCTGAAACAGGACTATAACAGGTCTGAAACAGGTCTGAAACAGGACTATAACAGGACTATAACAGGTCTGAAACAGGACTGAAACAGGACTATAACAGGTCTGAAACAGGACTGAAACAGGACTAAGGTCTGAAACAGGACTATAACAGGACTATAAACAGGTCTGAAACAGGACTATAACAGGACTCAGGTCTGAAACAGGACTGATAACAGGACTATAACAGGAAACAGGACTATAACAGGACTGAAACAGGTCTGAAACAGGACTATAACAGGTCTGAAACAGGACTATAACAGGACTGAAACAGGTCTGAAACAGGACTATAACAGGTCTGAAACAGGACTATAACAGGACTGAAACAGGACTAAACTAGCTGTAGCACAAACACTTCCAGTCCTCGCTCTCTCCTGCTGTACTCCGTGACATCACGACGTACCTCGACGTGCAGCATCGTCCCCTCGGGCCCCGTCTCCACAAACACCACAGCGCCCTCTGCTGTCACGTTCTTTTCCACCTCAAACTGAACCCGGTCTCCTGCTCTGGGTGGCTCTGGTCCAGATCTGGTTGCAGACCTGGTCCCAGACCTGGTCCCAATCCTGGTCCCAGTCCTGGTCTCAGCCTTGGTCTTGGGCTCAGACGTGGACTTGGTCGACCTGTGGGAACATTAGACATGGATTTATGGTTCAGAAAGTGATTTATACGTGAATTTATCAAGTGGAGAGATTTTGGCCTTTGTACAAACTGAAATTATTTAAAAAAATCTGATATTAAATAATCAGATTTTATTAAATATCTGATTTTATTAAATAATCTGATATTATTAAATAAAAATATAATATAATCTCTGGTCTCTGAATGAAAGCGTCAAATTGAAAAAGGCTTTTTGGAGTTTTCCTGATGTTTTTGTTTTATAAAATAGTTTCAGTTTGATGGTTTATCTCAGTATTTCTCTTACTTGGGTTTGAAAACGTCTGTGAAGGATTTCAGTCCGGTTTTGGTCTTTTCCTCAAACTCAAGTTTTACTTTGGATTTGGACTCTGGTTTAATATTAAACCTGGACTTTTCAGACCCTGGACTCAGTTTGAGGGACTTTGAGCGGACTTTGGCGACTCCTTTGCTCTGATCCAGATCTTCATACACATGGTCCTGGTCTAGATCTCCAGACAGGGACTTTGGACCAGAGTCCCAAGTCTGTGGTCTGGTCTCAAATCTAGACTCTAGTCTGGAGTCTGGTCTGGTCTCAAATCTAGACTCTGGTCTGGACTCTTGGTGAGGAGGGTCTTGGTAAAAATGGTCTGACATGAAGGACATGAGCTGGTTTTGGTCTGCACTGGGTCGTGGTTCTGGTCTGACTCTCAGGGACATTTTCATTCTCAGTTCTGGACTTCCTACTGGCTCTGGTTTTGGGTCTGGTCTTGGTTCTGGACCGGCCTCTGGTTCCGCGGCGGTGATCCTGTCAAAGCCAACGAACACTCCACAGTTTCTGTCGCAGGAGAAAAATCGCTCTCCTCCATGAGATCCGTCGGTGTCGCCTTCTCCTCGATCATCGCCCTGAAACAGAAAAAGAGTCTCAGAAAAGTTCACCGTGAGTCCAGTGGAGCAGGACAGGAGCAGACAGGAGCAGACAGGGGCAGACAGGAGCAGACAGGAGCAGACAGGAGCAGACAGGTGCAAACAGGTGCAGACAGGAGCAGACAGGAGCAGACAGGAGCAGACAGGAGCAGACAGGAGCAGACAGGAGCAGACAGGGGCAGACAGGAGCAGACAGGAGCAGACAGGAGCAGACAGGAGCAGACAGGAGCAGACAGGGGCAGACAGGAGCAGACAGGAGCAGACAGGGCAGACAGGAGCAGACAGGAGCAGACAGGGGCAGACAGGGTCCTCCTGCTGCTCTTTGAGTCGGTCGGTGGATCAAGTTTGGTCAAAGTAAAACGTCCTCTCCTGTTTGAAGAGTTTGAAAGAAAATGTACTAGAAGATGAATATCCATGACCTGAGTGACCTGAGTGACCTGTGTGACCTGAGGTGTGTGTTACCTGTAGTTCTATGCCGAAGTAGCGCGCGGGCAGGTCACGGCGGCGGAGGGTTGGGTGTTTGGTGATGGGGCCGATGTAGCGGACGGTTCCTCTGCGGAACGTCTCCTGGACCCGGACCCAGACGGCGGCGCCCGTCTGCAGCCTGAGGGCCGAGTCCAGACCCGTCCTCAGACCCTCCAGCCTCTGCTCCTCTGGGAGCGCCAACAGCAGCTCCGCCTCCTCTCTGCTGAGCGCCCGCAGACGCTCCACGTCTACAGGGTAACCCAACGAGCTGTAGCTCTCTGTGAACGTCACGTCGAGGACACTCCTGGAGCCTAGATCCTGGACCCTGGACCTGGGCAGTAGCAGATCCGACCTGATTTATATACGCTGAAGGAACTCGCAGCCTGGGTCAGAATAAAGTACTGATAATCCTCCTCCATCATGACCTGCAGCACAACAAACATCTCAGATTAAAGAGGAGAAGGAGGGAGGAGAGAGGAGAGAGGAGACAGAGAAGGAGAGAGGAGAGAGGAGATACAGAAGGAGAGAGGAGGAGGAGATACAGAAGGAGAGAGGAGATACAGAAGGAGAGAGGAGGAGGAGAGAGGAGACAGAGAATTAATTAATTAATCATTGCATTTACACAGCGCCTTTCAAGATCCAAAAAGCTCTTTACACTTCATTATTCAGTCACTCAACACTCAGTGATGTAAACAACTACTGTAGTCACAGCTGCCCTGGGGCAGACTGACGGAAGCGAGGCTGCCAATCGGCGCCATCAGCCCCTCCGACCACCACCATCACTCACACACACACCACTTTCATATTAGGCAATGTGGGTGAAGTGTCTTGCCTAATGACACAACAACAGTTTTTGTGACTGGCGCCTCCTGGAATTCACAGAGTCTCTGTCCAAGAACAAACCAGACCAGATTCTGACAAACTGGTATGACCACGAGAGAGGAGAAGGAGAGAGGAGACAGAGAAGGAGAGAGGAGAGACAGAGAAGGAGAGAGGAGACAGAGAAGGAGAGAGGAGACAGAGAAGGAGGGAGGAGACAGAGAAGGAGAAGGAAGGAGAGAGAGAGGAGGAGAAGAGGAAGGAGAGAGGAGACAGAGAAGGAGAGAGGAGAGAGAGAGAGGAGAGAGGAGACAGAGAAGGAGAGAGAGAGAGAGGAGAGAGGAGAGAGAGAGAGAGAGACAGAGAAGGAGAGAGGAGACAGAGGAGGAGAGAGAGGAGACAGAGGAGGAGAGAGGAGGAGAGGAGAGAGGAGAGAGGAGGTAGAGGAGGAGAGAGGAGACAGAGAAGGAGGGAGGAGACAGAGAAGGAGGGAGGAGACAGAGAAGAAGGGAGGAGACAGAGAAGGAGAGAGGAGACAGAGAAGGAGAGAGGAGGTAGAGAAGGAGGGAGGAGACAGAGAAGGAGGGAGGAGATAGAGAAGGAGAGAGGAGACAGAGAAGGAGAGAGGAGACAGAGAAGGAGGAGGAGACAGAGAAGGAGGGAGGAGACAGAGAAGGAGAGAGGAGGTAGAGAAGGAGAGAGGAGACAGAAGGAGAGAGGAGACAGAGGAGGAGAGAGGAGGTAGAGGAGGAGAGAGAGGAGACAGAGAAGGAGGAGGAGACAGAGGAGGAGAGAAGGAGACAGAGAAGGAGGAGGAGAAGCAGAGAAGGAGAGAGGAGACAGAGAAGGAGGGAGGAGGACAGAGAAGAGAGAGGAGACAGAGAAGGAGAGAGGAAAGACAGAGAAGGAGGGAGGAGACAGAGAAGGAGGGAGGAGACAGAGAGGAGACAGAGAAGAGAGAGGAGACAGAGAAGGAGAGAGGAGACAGAGAAGGAGAGAGGAGACAGAGAAGGAGAGAGGAGACAGAGAAGGAGAGAGGAGAGAGAAGGAGGAGAGGAGACAGAGAAGGAGAGAGGAGACAGAGAAGAGAGGGAGGAGACAGGAGACGAGGGAGGAGACAGAGAAAGGAGGAGAGAGACAGAGAAGGAGGAGAGACAGAGAAGGAGAGAGGAGGTAGAGAAGGAGAGAGGAGACAGAGAAGGAGGGAGGAGACAGAGAAGGAGAGAGGAGGTAGAGGAGGAGAGAGGAGACAGGAGACAGAGAAGGAGGGAGGAGACAGAGAAGGAGAGAGGAGACAGAGGAGGAGGGAGGAGGTAGAGGAGGAGGAAGGAGGTAGAGGAGGAGAGAGGAGACAGGAGACAGAGAAGGAGGGAGGAGACAGAGAAGGAGAGAGGAGACAGAGAAGGAGGGAGGAGACAGAGAAAGGAGGGAGGAAGACAGAGAAGGAGGGAGGAGACAGAGAAGAAGGGAGGAGGACAGAGAAGGAGGGAGGAGGAGACAGAGAAGGAGAGAGGAGGTAGAGAAGAGGGAGGAGACAGGAAGGAGGGGAGGAGAGATAGAGGAAGGAGAGAGAGAGGAGACAGAGAAGGAGAGAGGAGGTAGAGGAGGAGAGGAGGAGGGGAGGAGAGAGAGGAGACAGAGAAGGAGGGAGGAGACAGAGAAGGAGAGAGGAGGTAGAGAAGGAGGGAGGAGCAGAGAAAGGAGGGAGGAGACAGAGAAGGAGGGAGGAGACAGAGAAGGAGAGAGGAGGTAGAGGAGGAGAGAGGAGGTAGAGGAGGAGAGAGGAGACAGAGAAGGAGGAGAGGAGACAGAGAAGGAGAGGAGAGGTAGGAGGAGGAGAGAGAGACAGAGAGGAGGAGGAGGAGAGAAGGAGAGAGGGAGGTAGAGGAGGAGAGAGGAGACAGGAGACAGAGAAGGAGGGAGGAGACAGAGAAGAGAGAGGAGACAGAGGAGGAGGAGGAGGAGAAGTAGGGAGGAGGAAGGAGGTAGAGGAGGAAGAGGAGACAGGAGACAGAGAAAGGAGGGAGGAGACAGAGAAGGAGGAGGAGACAGAGAGGAGGGGAGGAGACAGAGAAGGAGGGAGGAGACAGAGAAGGAAGGGAGGAGACAGAGAAGGAGGAGGAGAGAGAGAGAGAGAGGAGAGAGGAGAGGAGAGGTAGAAGAAGGAGGAGGAGACAGAGAAGGAGGGAAGAGATAGAGAAGGAGAGAGGAGACAGAGAAGGAGAGAGGAGGATTAGAGGAGGAAGAGAGGAGGAGAGGAGGAGAGAGGAGAGACAGAGAAGGAGGGAGGAGCACAGAGAGGTAGAGGAGGAGGTAGGAGACAGAAGGGAGGAGGAGCAGAGAAGGAGAGAGAGGTAGAGGAGGAAGAGAGAGGAGGAGGAGGGAGGAGGAGACAGAGAAGGAGAGAGGGAGGTAGAGAGGAGGAGGAGGAGAGAGAAGAGGGAGGAGACAGAGAAGGAGAGAGGAGACAGGAGAGAGGAGAAGAGAGAGAGAAGGAGGAGGGAGGGGAGGAGGAAGAGAGAGGGTGAGAGAGGAGGAGGAGAGGAGAGAGAGGAGAAGAGAGAGGAGAGAGGGAGGAGGGGAGAGGAGGAGGAGAGAGGAGGAGAGAGGAGAGAGAGGAGGAGAGGAGGAGGTAGAGAGAGGAGAGAGGAGACAGGAGGGAGGTAGAGGAGGAGGTAGAGGAGAGGAGAAGAGGAAGAGGAGTAGAGGAGGAGAGAGGAGGTAGAGGAGGAGGAGGAGACGAGGGAGAGGAGGAGGAAGGAGAGAGAGGAGAGGAGGAGGAGAGGAGGAGGAGGAGGAGGAGAGGAGAGGAGGAGGAGGAGAGGAGGAGAGTAGGAAGTAGGAGGAGGAGAGGAGAGGAGAGGAGAGAGGAGGAGGAGAGGAGAGGAAGGAGGAGAGAGAGGACGGAGGAGAGGAGTAGAGAGGAGGAGGAGGAAGAGGAGGAGGAGAGGAGAGAGGAGGAGAGGAGGAGGAGAGGAGGAGAAGGAGGAGGAGGGAAGAAGGAGGAGGAGGAGGAGGAAGAGTGAGGAGGAGGAGGTAAGAGGAGGAGGAGATGGGAGCCGTGGAGGAATAGAGAGAGGAGGGGAGGAAGAGGAGGAGAAGGAGGAGTTGAAGGAGGAGGAGAAGGAGGAGGAGAAGAAGAAGAAGAGAGTCGAGGCTGTGTATCCTGCAGACAGAGACATGTTCTGTCTTTGTCTCAGTCTCAGGTTTTGTCTCGGCCTCATGTGAAGCTCAGATCCTCCAGACCCTGAGCTGCAGAAGCTGCACTAGCACTGACTCCTGATTGGTGCAGGTGCTTTAATGACTGACCAATCAGATCAGAGATTTAGGTTTAAACCTCCTACAGCACAAGAACGAACTCTGACCTTTAAACCATCATCTAATGTTCTAATGTTCTAATACTTGAATGTTCTAATGTTCTGTTGTTCTGTTGTTCCTGGTCACTCTCAGAGCTGGACTCGTGTTTGTTTGTTTGTTCTGAGTCTGTTAACTCCAAACACTCTGTTCCACCTCGTGATGTCATCAAGTTCTCAGCTCCTTTTCCCTTTATTTGAGTCGAGATCAAAACTCCAGGACTGAAATGATCCAGGTGATTCTAGTGAAGGTGTGTGGAGTTTAAAAACACAGTGGAGCACTTCCTGTATCACCACATGATGACATCACAAGGTGTTTTCAGTTTGAGAGAAGAGTTTGTGTAAATGTGCAGGTTTGTGTGTTAAACATGTGAATAAATAAATAAATAAAGTTAAAAAGAGCCGCTGTTCCAGGGCACAAAGGTTTTTACGGATCTTTGTTCTGTCGGTGGATTTTCTGTTTACACTTTTAGAAAAGCTTTTAAAAGTAGAATTCTATCTGCAAAAAACAAAGAGGCATAAGAGAATTTACATTTATAACATTTTCCAGATATAATAATTAAGTTAATTGCCTTTTTTAAAATTTGTTTTTTGAGTCTAAATCCTTTTCATGCAAACCAAAATAATGTGTTTAAATTTGAATGAGAATCAGGGACAGTTTGATCTTTGACATTTTAAACCGTTTTTCCAGTTCTGTAAAAGTGACTTCTTGTTTTACAAAAAGTGCAGTTTGGGTGAATAGTTTTAATATATTTTAGCATAAATTTATTTAAAGGAGACGTCCCTCATTTTATTATTTATCAAAATGTTTGATTAACAGTCCATCGTTTTTTCCAGATTGTGTCAGAGACAAAACGTCTCCAGAAAAAACTCACAGAGAACAGAGAGGCGCCTCCTGCTGGAAACACAGCAGAACACAGCAAAGGATTATGGGACATGGAGTCTCCGTATAAACTACAGTAGAACATTAGAACATTAAAACATTAGAACATTAGAACATTAGAACACAGATCTGGGCCTTTTAAATGTGAGTCTCCGGAGTGTCCAGCAGAGGGCGCCCTTCAACAAATCCACATCAGTCAAAAAATAATAATAAATATCCGTGTACAACAACTACATAGAAAGTACTACAACTACTACAATACTACTACTGTGACTACTGCAAATACTAATACTTCTACTGCCTCAGATGTACACAAACTGTACACAAGAACAGACAATATCACCAAAGTACTATCACAGTACTCACAGTAAAAGTACTCCTGCAGTACTCACACAGTAAATGTAAGTAAAGTACTAAAAGTACACAGCTCCGACCTGTTCCTGCTCAGCCGCCCCACAGTACTTCTGTTAACTGCAGTATTTGTACCACAAACAGACGTGTTCCCGTGAAGTCATAAACTTTAATTTCCTCTTTCACTTTTACACGTCACATGATCTGAGCGAAAAACAACCCCCCCCGGTGTGCGGCAGGGGGCGCTGTGCTCCGCGGCTTTACTGTGTGCTTCGCATTTGACCCTAAAACACGCGGAAATAACCCGTAAACAAACATTAAACAAACATTAAACAAACATTAAACAAACGTAAATAAACCGTAATTACCCAGCAGATCCCGGCCTCTCCTCTGGCTCCTTCAGTCAAGTCAGTGTCAGGTGCGGCTCATACGCGGCTCAGGTGCGGCTCATACGCGGCTCACATATACACTTTAGACAGTTTCAGGGTTTCAGGGTTTTCGCGTCTTCGTCAGTTTCGTCGCTGCGGCTCAAACCGCCTCAATCTGAAAAACACTAAAGTTTCACTTTTGATCAAATAAAAACCTAAACTCCTCTGACGTCAGCAGCGCGGACGTGGTGCGCGGTGACGTCAGAGAGTAAACATCCAAGATGGCGGAGCGGGCCGCGCTGCGGAGACAGATCGAGCTGCTCCAGAGTAAGTTTGACTTTTACAGACAAAAGAACCGGATAAATAAAACT